TCCAGATAATGCCTAGCACTCAATTACTGAATATATGAAGAAGAGATGATAACTTCATTGCTTACTCTTTTGACCAACATTCAGGAGCTAGGGCCACTGGTGGCACAGTGGTTAAATGCAGTATTGCAACTAATTCTGCCCACAGTCTAGCATTTGATCCTGACCGGCTCCAGTTTGACTCAGTCTTCCATCCTTCTGAGATCAGTAAAATGAGGAGCCAGTTTGTTGGGGGCAATATGCTGACATTGGTAAATCATTCAGAGAGTGCTGTGATTGTTCGGAGGGTGACATGCCAGCAGAATCAAGTTAAGCATTTTCCCAATGTTTAACATGCCAAACCCAAAATGTTTGCCATCACTGATTTAGTATATATTTCCTTCTTTTGCTCATAGTTGGCACCAAGTATGGAAGGAGCCATGTGCTTCTTAATTGGTTTTAAGCAGGCACTGGGCTGCTTAAAATGCTTCTACTCATTTGAATGGATATATATTTGTTTCTCACTTTGTAGCATATTCTAACATTGGTACAAGAAGTTAATTTTAGTAGCATTTGTTTATAAATATGTGTATTAAAAGAGCAGGAAATCATATTCATCATTAACACAAGTTCATTTTTTAAGGAGCATTTGATGCTAATGTATTGCAGGTTTCACACTATTGATTTACAGAGTAATTGTTGACTTCACACAATAGATTGTACAGAATTGTTGTCAGTTCTCATACTCTAATTCAGTTAACTACCCATAAAAATAAATATACACACTCAGGTTAAAATGAAATACTTGTTAATGATAAATGTCAACATGTTCATAGTTTTGATGGGCAACTTTTCTTTGCATCAGGATAATTTTAAAATACTGTAAGTATAATTACATATTAGTAAATACTAAAGAAAGTATCCTGTTTCTTTTTTTCTTCCAATATCTCTGCAACTGAAAACATCCAAAACATAATAGAATAGAATTTAGTCATAAAGCCCTTTTGATCCTAAATATGGTCCCATTTTCAGGTGCAAGGATTTTGGTGATTAACTTGAGTCCAAAGTTCTGTTTATTTCTTTATCCAGCTGTATTTTTCTTTTTCAAGTTATGTGGATGAGTGAATGTACATCGCACTCTCCCACCCACACATCTAAACAAAGAGCCAAATTATATGTTATTATAAAGATGTAGCTAGCAGCCTTTTACTAAAATATAAGCACAGAACTGATCTGTATCAAAATCCAAATAATCTGCATGCATATTCCCTAACTTGACTGGGATACTAGAAGGCAGCAAAAGGTTAAAGATATTGTGCTCTCCACTCTGCTACCCAAATAAAGTTTAACTCCTAGATGCTAGAAAAGGATGTCACACTAGCCACACTTAGCACAGTATGCCTTGCACAACAAATCTGTCATTTATTTCCAAGCAACTAATTACTTTTCAAGTTACTATTAAAGCTATTATTGACCTTAATGTCTTTACTTAGTACAAAAAGTGGTGTTTTTTTTAAAGACTGATAAATTTAGTATTTTTTTTAAAAAAACAACAACATTCAGTCATAGAGGTAACTAATATTTGGCAGATGATTCAATTTGCTGCAGGAATTCTTACAAAAGCAGCAGAGTAACAATGCTCCAAGGTACTTTATTTAACATTGTGTCCTAGAGCTAAGTTGGAATTTGATGATGATGATAGCTGGAAATTTTGAGTGACAATTCCAAAGTATCCATCTGGAGACTGTCAGGATGGAAAGTGTGTTCTGATGTGTTTCATAAGCTGCATAATTATTGTGTCATTGTCATTCCCTGAGAGAATGCAGTACATGTGAATTCTGGAAATACAGCAGTAGGACTAACTTTTTCTTCTGATTTATACTATTGGTTTTGGCTGAATGCTGATCAGGTGGGAAAATATGGTAAAATTGTTGAATTGTAATATTGGTGTTGCGCGCCAGTTGCGCCCTTTCCTAGAGAAGAGGCTATCCGTTCGGACACTCATGCCCTGGTCATCTCCTGTTTGGATTACTGCAATGAGCTCTACATGGGACTACCCTTGAAAAGTATCCAGAAACTTCAGCTGGCCCAAAGTGCAACCCCATGACCTACATTGGGTGCCCAAAGAAGGGAAACACATTTGCTCTGCAAACTGCATTGACTACCAGTTTGTTTCTGGGTCCAATTTTTGGTGTTGGTTATGATCTACAAAGCCCTACACAGCATAGGGCGAGGCTACATATGGACTGGGCTTCATTTCATTACATCAGTCCATCCAGTGTGGGATTCAGCCAGTACGCACCACTTCGGGAGAACCGGTTGTTAACTTTCTGAGCAGTTTGGTGAACTGGTTGTTGGAAGAAATCATTAGGGCAGAGAACAGGTTGTTAAATTATTTGAATCCCACCACTGAGTCCATCCCACCTAGCCAGGCAGGGGAGATATGTTGCAGACTCTATCAGTTAAAGCAGAGTGCCTTCTCTATGGTTGCCTCTGCCATATGGAATATTCTTCCCTCAGAAATGAGGCAGGCACCTGCTCTCCTACAAAAAGGGGTTAAAACATGGCTCGGCGGCCTTATGTGGGGAACCCAAAGGAGTGGGCAGTCATGGCATTAGTGCCATGAAAGCTCTCCTTTGCTCTGGTTAACCAACTTTTTACAGGGTTATCTTTTCTTGCCTCAATTTTTTTTAAAACTTCAAAAAAATTATAATTTTAAAAACATCTTAGCTTAAATTAGAACTTTACTATTTTAATTTTTTATACACTGTTGTATATTTTGATGATTTATTATATACCATCTACGTCCCTCCTTGAAGGTGATGGATAGTTTAGAAATATGAAATAAAAATAAATATTCATGCATATATTCTAAGTATGGGGTATCCGAAGTAAGAAAAAGTTTTTAGGAACGAATGGGTGCCGTATGTAATCAGCAATATAACTATAAGTTGTATACCAGGATTCTGAAACTCTGTTCTGCAAAACCTAGGATTCCATGATAATTCCATGGGATTTGGTAGACGATAAAGGGGCAGGAAGTTTATTTGAATAAAGCCAGAGGTATACATAGTAATTTTTCTAAGATACATTGGAAAAAGCAGGGCTTGTCAGTTGACATTAAAAGACTATGGTGTGTATATTTATAATAACTCATTACATTGCTTCTTGATCAAAGGTTCCACCTTTAAAAAAAAAAAAACTTTTATAAAACTTCTTTTCTGTGGTCTGAAAGTTTGAAAAATTCTGTTAAACAGAGTTTATCAATGAGAATATTTCAGAAAAAGATGTTTTTAATTAAAATGCTTTGAATTAATAAAGAAAAAATCTTTTAATTGCTGTCTTCAAGTCATAAATTGAACATATTTCTTATACTCTGAATGGCTGAAGATATATGTTAATATATTTGAACGCTTTAAAAACGTTACATATTATGAATTATAATCTCTAGAATATTTATCTCTACTATATCCACGTATCAAATGAAATTTGTTAGATTTATAGTTTTTCTACATGACACAAAACTACAAAGATGTAATACAACTGAACACTTGAGACAGTTTTTCATTTTGCATCAGTTTTTTTAAAGTAAATACATACATAAATAATCCAAGCATGGAAAAAGATCTATTGGAATTCTTTTCAGGCACACAGATTAAGAGAGGACAAACAAACAGAAAGAAAGGTATGGCAAATGTGATATATATCTAGCAGACTGATAATCCTATTAAGCAAAGATTATAGCCATTCATTATAGAAGATTAAACTTTCTCATATAATCGCAGATACCTCCTTTCACAAACCTGCTATACACCATTGATATTTTGTAAAAATACAACTGTTCACATTTTAAATAGGACATGTATACATCTGTAAATAAAGCCTCAAGTAAAAGATTTAAATGTTTGACTGCAGGGGTTGCCTACAGTCAGTTTAAACAGACCATGTAGTACAATTCTTTAACAAAACATTTTAGATAATGCCCAGTTTTAGTTTACAAAGAAAAGCAGATGCAAATTATATTATAAAAAGGCAAAGTAGCTCCACATATGGAACATTTAAAGGGCTGATAAAATCTTTATTTGAAAAATATGATTCTGCAACCGATATTTGAAATGAATTGAAAGATCAGCTACCTGATACTAAAACACAAATTAAATATTCACAGGGAAGCAATTCCTTGGAATAATAGGATGAAAAGCTATTAATTTATGTTTGACAAATATTTAACCACTATAGTTGTCAGTCCATTGTGAACTATGGCAATTGTATATTTTTATTCAAAAGATCACAATCTATGTACCTGAATATTATGTTGCAATTAATCATCTATATTACTGACTCAAAGAATTTCAATTATTGCCTCAAGACCTGGAGCAGAAATGCTTGAAGAAAAAATGGGGAGATAAACAATAGAAGATTTCAGCATTGGGAACTTATTGTACATGTATGAAAAAAAATTTGGTTTTCAAAAAATGGATTACTGAATGTTAGAATTTAGTAACCAAAAAAATATCTACTAAAACACATTTTGTACTATGTATGTTAGAATTATCACTTGTAAGAGAATGGGATAATCGTGGAATGTATTTTATATATTGGAGACACAGGACATCACAAAACCTAACATAATTTCATGCCTATGAAATTCTGTACATCAATTGACTGGGCCAGTTTTCTATGAGAAGAAAACTATATAGTACAATGACAAATATTTTTGTGTAAGAAATGCATGTGCATGTTTTGTGTGTTTATATTTTAGGTGTATTATGTAAAAAGCAAAACTGTCCAGAACTTTAGTACAAATGTTTTGTGCAATATACTGGTACGCATATATGCTTATATTTTGGATTTAAAATGTAAACCAAAAGCTAATGATACCATAAAATTATGATACCTGCCATATGGATATTACAATGGTAGGATTATTGTGGTCATAAAGATTGCTGAAAACTGCTGTATTTCCATGTGATCCCAAGTAGTCATCTATTAACTTGAAAAGACTTCATGAGGAATCGTGAAAATAAATGAAATCAACTGAAGTAGTTTTAATAGAGGTAGCATCAGAATTAGTTGTAGAATACAGTGCAGCTGAGAGGCATAAATATACATTGGTACAAGGCAAACTCAATTATCATTATAGACTTTACTACAACTTTCCTTCAAAAACAAAAGCCAACCCCCCCCCCAGTGAAATCATGTGATGCTAATGCCCTATTCTTATGCTTTGATTAACTCTCATTAACTGTTTCTTTCAGCATATATTTTATATAATCATTGAACATGAATCGATCTTGGGGGGGAAAAAGCATTCCAAGCTTTTTACTAAGGATTAGAGCTTTTCCAGTCTCATTGATGACTGAAAAACATGTATCACTAAGAATTAAGTGATAATTGTCTACAAGAACTCAATTTTTGAGTTTTGAAGTCATTATTATTCAAGGAACTATTAGGGTTTTTTTTGGCTATAATCTGCAAAAGTAAGTTATTGCATGGTTCCTCTCTCCAGACATCATGGTATATTTTTATTCTCACTCTGCCAGTATCTCCAGATCTTCAGTAATGGTTACTGTGCACATGGAATATTCCAAGCCTATCAATGTGAATGTTCTGTGCACATCTGGCCTCATCTTGAAACCAGGTATTGTAGAAGGAATGCAGGTATTCCCATCCTTCCTTATGTACAAATTCCATAAATGCTGTTCCTCTTCCTACTGGGAAGTACTAAACACTATGAAAACTACTACTTTTGTATGTCTGTATATGGAGATAAAGTTGCAATGACTGTATATGCGTTTTAAAAGCTGACTGAACTATTCCTCAGGGGTACATCTCCTTTTTATATATTAGACTTCACTCATCCCATTTATGTTATCCTTGTGATGTCACACTATACAACCCTTCTGAGTTTGCAAGTGAATATGTAGAGTCAACAAATGATAAGTGATTAGCAGCTACATTTATGCAACAGAGATTATCTAGGAAAAAAATAGTGAAATTCACAATATTTTAGTTTGCTTTGTATGACACAGATTGAATTTCAGGTGAGAAAAAAAATAAGAACTCCTTTGCTTGTAACTTTCAGATATTGTATTAGTAAAAAGCACACTATATCTTTGTAAATAAATATATCCTATTTCTGGTATCACAGTACAATCCAGAGAAAAATACTGTCATAAGTACAACAGCATGATATAAGCTCCACAAGATTTTACATTAGTTTTGGTCTTGAATCTGGAAAACACCCTAACAGGATAATCAAAATCTAATGCACATATTAAATACTTTGCAGAACTCATTTCCCATCCCACCCTCTAATACAGTACTAACACAATTACATGAAAATGACATTACAGTATCCTCCCAGCTGAATCTATGCTTGCAATATCAGCTACTATGTGTATATCTCAGAAGTATGTGAAATCAAAAATCACTAAATAAATAAACTACCATAAAGAAAACTGGGCAGTGCTAAATTTTATATTTAGAAAATATCTCATCTTCAGAAAGAGACCACAGAGGAGGGTAGAATATGTTGTTTATCTTATTTAAATTTTGTTTTTAAAAGAAAAAAGACATATACAGGTTCAGGCCTAGAGGATATTGTTAAATGCATAAATACTGATAACTGCTAAATTAGAATGGGTTTGATAAACTATAATACAACATACTGGAATAAACAGTAGAGAACATAATATTTTGGTTTTTTGAAATAGTTAAGGTGCAACATTTCTTGCTCAAAATGAATTCATGACATAAGTTTGATAGTGACATTGCTGATATATGAAAATACGTATCACAGAAATGAAATTTCTTTAAAAAAACCCACACAAATCAATAAAAAATAAAAAAGCAATTTAACAATACATTGTTGGTTTCGCATTTTTTTGTGCTAACAAATGTTCTTCCTTTCTGAAATCAGGGATCCCCATTCTAATAAATTCAGCAAGCCTCTAAAATTAAGACGTCATTCAACAACAACAAAAGAAAGAAACCACAGGGCACAATTTATCTGGCTATTCTTCTGCAGAACCTCCACTGGAATGAATGGAAGCTGTGCAATACCTACATTCCAATGAGGATGGCTGCAGAGAATCTTCCAAGTGGGCTGTGCTTCTAATGAACTATAAAGCTTTGCAGGATTTCTGCTACTCTTGGTGCCTAATCATTTTAAAATTAAGCATATCTACAGAAAAGTTTATTAGCATCAGAAAACACTCGTATTCAGTAAATTGACCCATATTCAGTCCCTCGTCTAAGGGATAGTCAACAAAGTTTTGGAAAGAAAGGTAATCAAGATATTTACTTAGAAAAAGCTAATTTTCCGCATTCTTTATAAAGGTACCATTCATACAAAGAAATATTTTAGGAATAACATAGAAATTTAAAATGGAATACAGATGATGTACTTTTGCAAAATGTAGTTATTCTAATGGATTCAATAGAATGCGTATGTTAGTACCCACTGTAAAGATGAAGAGGCTGCACCGTAAGATATTTGGATTTCAGCTACTAACATATTTGAGCCATCGCTAGTACATGGTCATATATTCCTTTAGCTACCACAATATATGCTCAACAGTATGGCATGATGGCAGCATTCTATTTTGTTAAAATAATTTAGAAAACATTAACAAAATTGAACTATTAAAATAGCTCCACATGTTACAGCAGCATGTGGAAATTTCTTCTACCTGAATTTTCTAACAAGTTTTTATTTTCTCATGCCTGTTGAAACTGTTTTTTTATTCTATTTCTTCAATATTTATAACTTTGAATGAGTTTTGATTTTTTTACCTAAGCTGAAGTGACAATTTTTGTTATCATCAATTATTACAAAGTATATGATCTGCTTGTTGTTGTTCCTGGTTCAGACCCTGAAAAGACATGCACTGATTAGAATAATAAAAGGCTAAGCCAAGCAAGTTTTAAGAGTCACTTTTTGTATGGCTGTTAAATCCAATTACAAAAAAATGAAAAAAAAACACCCCATATTCTCTAACAATTTTGTCACATACAAATGAAGAAGGCCTGATAACACTGTGTAAACGCTCATAGAGACCTAATTAATATAAAAGGGTCTCACTGAACTAAACACTACCACAAAATTCCACCAGAGACAAGACTCATAGAAAATTATTGCTGGGGTCTGATCAATAGCATTTGGTTAAATCTTTGTGCTATGATACAAATCAAAATAGGGAAATTTCTTGTGCTGTGGAAGAAGTACCCTGTATTAATGTGAAAATTTCCTGTCAAATTCTTATGAAAAATAAAATGTTGCTGCTAGGAGTATTGTTGCCCTGATCCAGTCAGAGTCCGTATATATGTGGAAGAAGACTTCCATTTGTGCATCCCTAGACAGATGGAAAACCATGTACACAGATGCCAAATTCCCCTACTTGATGTTACAGCAGAATTACTGTACTTGGGGCCTTGGACAAAAATTAAAGTACCACCTATCAATGATTTCATATCATGCAGCCAATTTAGGGTGTCTTTTAAAAAAGAATCTATATAGATGCTGCTGCATGTTGTGTTGAATGACAGGAAACTGGCATATATAAAATAATTAAGAAATAACATAAAGTAATAATAATTATATAAACCCTAGAACCTGCTCTGGCAAGAGATGTAGAGATGGGAAAAGGATGCAACACAGAATAAAGATAACACAAATTGAAAAATGGTCTGTTTGATGGCCTAAATTCTGTAACATTATTCCTCAGTCATCATCTACTTATGCTATACTCAGCACTTTACCATCCCAAACTACCACTGGCACTTCATAAACTGATGAAGCCGATTCAGACTGTGCATAGTATTTATGACAATTCCAGTGTCCATAAAATGTAAAATATATTCATCAGTGTATATGTCAACTGAAAAGATTTTCCCCCAAAAGAGTGAAGTAGTACTAAGGTCACTTCTGAACAATATATTAATAGTATTTTCCCCATTTCACTGCTTTAAACTTAGTCATTCTGAATTTCTGTCCAAAAATAAATGAAATTTTCAAGGCTTGAAATTCAAACCAGTAATCTGCAAGCACTGCTCTTATCTGTATGCCAGACCTTTGCTTTAAATGTAAATCTCCATTATTCTATGCTTAATTTTTTTTAAAAAAGCACAATAAAGCCTGTCAATATTTTTTTTGCCAAAAATTCTATCACCCTGGTGGCAAATTCAGAAAAGTGCAGAACTTCTTGGCCATATGCCGCACATAGACCTCAAACAATGGTACACCTCCCATGCGTTCTTGGAGTCTACAAACAGGTTCTTAAATTCACTCTTAAATATATAAATGTAGGCATAACCTATTATATAAACCATCCGAGAACTTAAATGTTCATGTAAAAAGGACTAAGATTATCTAGTAACTAGTGCAGTGTATCAGTTCTCTTTCTTTCTTTCTTTCTTTCTTTCTTTCTTTCTTTCTTTCTTTCTTTCTTTCTTTCTTTCTCTTTCTACTTTTGTTTAAAGTAGCTACACTTCATATGAACTACTTTTGACAGAACAGGTGCTGTGTGAGCTACAGTAAAGTTTGCCTTCTCCATGTAACTGTGAATTTACCACTTTAAAAACCTTCTCTAGAAAGCAAAGCTCCAGGATATTTCATTTCTGTTCCATAAGAGAGAAATAACATTACTCTCATAGTACATTTTAGGCTCAAGCTAAAGGGACCTGGAACAAGCTACAAGTGAAATCTGTGCCACACTGAACATGAACAACTCATTTTCAGTCTATGAGTTCCTCCATCACATGGACTGACTACCATCCATTGGTAAAGACAAGGCTAGAATATTAGGTAAAGCACAATGTTTTACAAAAGGGTAGAGCTTCACTGGTCAGCACAGGAAATAAGCACTGGAGCCTGAGACATTTCTTTTGGCTGTCCATCACAGGGAAGAGGTGCTGTTCTCTGATTCCTACAAAGGAAGAATAGATGTAAGGTTAACTAAGAGAACATACTCTTTTTTAAAACCCCTAACACTAAAATATAGCAAAAGCTTGTTTTACTTGAGTTTGATACAATGAATTTTTGTATGTAGTAGACCAAATTAGGAAGTGATTTATGCTTTGTGTGATCTACATGATGCAAATTACATCATTTGTATATTATATGAATTGTAAATTCATTAGGTCATCATACAAATGACTAAATATCTACAATGTCCTCCTCTTAGATTCAACAGATTTTCTTTAATAAATAACCCTTCTTCCAATTAATGTGTTAAAGTAGGATGTCACTGTATAATCAATTATATTCAAAGTGCCAATTAAATCATCTAGTAAGAGTAAAGTAAACCCGTTAAAATGTTACAACTTTTGAGTTACAGATGCTTTGTTGAAGAAAAGAAATCTCTTGCTAAACCACCACGTTCAGATGAAACACTGTTAACATAGTAGGGATTATGAAAAAGGGCTTTTACTACTGGATTCCTGCATTGGGGAAGAGATTTAAGTAGATAACATCATTTCGAATCATTGCATTTTATGATTCAATGATCTAAAAAGTTTGGTTTTCAAGTAATTTCTGTCATTTTAGAAATCGTGTTTTCCCTCTAAAAATAAGAGAAGAGTACTAAATAGATACAGGATACTGGGATAACTGGAGATCTGCCTTCACATTTATATTACATCCACACTAGCTCCCACTAATCATATGAATAAACCCATTCCTCAGTTTAATAATGCACCAAGGAAGTGACCACACTAGTAGAAGAGAAAGAACAGAAAAGGCAGTTCAATAGGGAATGTATTAGACAATACATCTGAGATTTTTCTTACAGTGTACAGCTTACATAAAATACAGACAACTAGAAGCAGTATTTGGAAAACAGCTTCTTAGCTTTTATTTCCTCTTTCAGACTGTTTCCCTAAAAGTTCAGTAACAACAGAACTCTCAGAGTGCTATTTAAAAAAAAAAAAAAAATCAGAAAGCTGAATTGCTTGGGTAAATTATCAGGAATAATTTTTGCTGTATGAAAATCAAGGCCACTGTGTTAGAAATTTCCTGTTCTTAATTTTTACATAATTGCCTTTACAAAAACAACAAACCTTTTTTTAAAATTTTCCAAAGGCTGAATGGGATTCATATAAAGTCTTCTATTTCCTAAAGGCTGAAGCTCTCCTACAGGTCATAGAATCCCTTGAACAATTGCTGAATTCTTTTCCTGGGTGTTTCCAATCTTGAGAAAAGGAAAGAAGTATGCTGGCTACTTAATATTGTAAATCTTCCGTCTACTATTCATAAAATATATTCCAATCACACAAGGAGGGTGTTAGATTACTTTCCTTGCATGCTCATTTAAATCTTTTTTTCCTATACAGAAACATTTTTCACTATACTCTTTCTGTTTTCCTCCTTCTTTTGTTGGAAAGCAGCTATTGCAATTTGAAAATGTCTGGTTTGTGCAAATAATACTGTAAGAATAATATGGGAATAATGTCATAATGGTAGCCAGGAGAGTAAGCTTTATTACAATTAAGTTGCCTTAGCAATAGTTTCAATGGAACCTAATCATGGGGGGGAGCGGGGGGCGACCTGGATCAAATTTCTAACATAATTTCTCTCCCATATATCACAAGGTAGTCCATGCATATGAAACTGAGCCTTAGGGTTTTTTAAATAATCATTTCCCAGAGAACCACACATATCTCTATCTTACTAAAAACCCTAACTTATTTGAGTCACTCACCCTTATATATATCCTAGAGAAAGGATATATAAACTTAATCGCTATGTAGGACCAGTTCATGTGAAATATGAGGAAAGTAGAAGTTGAGCATTGTTAGAACAATAAACTTTATTGTTATAACAATGCTCAACTTCTACTTTCCTCATATTTCACATGAACTGGTCCTACATAGCGATTAAGTTTGGGGAAGTATCCTTCATCTTCTACATTAAGTTGCAAGTATTAGGATACTAAAATGTAACACAGAAGCTCTATATCCGTGATGGCGAACCTATGGCACGTGTGCCACAGGTGGCACGCGGAGCCATATTAGTGGGCACGCCAGCTCAGCTCTGGGGTGCATGCGCGCGCCGGCCAGCTGATTTTTGGGCCTTCTGGGCCCACCAGAAGTAGGGAAACAGGCTGTTTCCTGCCTCTGGAGGGCCTGGGGGGGGGAAGTCCCGTTTTTCTTTCTTACCTGGCTCCAGATCCTTTCTGTGTATCTGGGAATGGTGAAAACAGCCTTTCCCACTCCCTTGGAGGCCCTACAGAGGCTGAAAGGGCCCATTTCCCCACTCCCGGTGGGACAGGAAGTGATGTTTTTTCCTGTCCCCAGACTCCAGAGACTCCTAGAGAGGCTACTACAGACTCCTAGAGAGGCTCCTACAGACTCCTAGAGAGGTTCTGGAGGCTGGGGACAGCAAAAAATGTCACTTCCTGTCCCACCGGGAGTTGGGAAATGGGCCCTTTCAGCCTCCGTAGGGCCTCCAAGGGAGTGGGAAAGGCTGTTTTCTCCGTTCCCAGATACACAGAGAGGATCTGGAGCCAGGTAAGAAAGAAAAACGGGCCTACCAGGCCATCATGTGCCAGGAGCGGGGGGGGAGGGGGTTGCACACACATGCACGTGGGCACGTGCGCGCGCGACCCTCCCCCACCCCCCTCTCCTGGCACGCGATGGCAAAAAGGTTAGCCATCACTGCTCTATATCATCTCTACCAAATAAATGCTCTAAAATAATTTCAGAATTTGCTTTCTACATTGAACACTGTATTTTGTGTTCTTGTGTATTGGAACGTGTTTCCTGAAAGAGTCTAAACTTCTGTCTGGCCTTGGCTACAGACATGCTCTGGGATTCCCTGGTATTTAGTTCATTCCAGAAGATGCCTTCCATTGTTCTAATCAGACATGCAATGTCTCCAGGACAAAACTGTCAGAAACCTGGCAAATGCATATGCTTGGCAGATAACATCTTTTGGAAAATATCATATTCTCAATTTACTTACTGTGGTAAAAACAGAAAGATTTGCATTTCTTTCAGAATAGATTTGGGAATTTATATATACACATACATATATAGTTGTAAGTAAGTAGAAAGAATATGATAATCCTATACTTTGGGAGGCACCAAATCTTTCTGAAAGCTGGCATATTTTTAAGAAGCCATTTTCATAACTTTGATCTTATTTTTTCATCTTTTGTTCCCCCTCTTAAAATGGGAATTGAATTTAAGCCAAATTCTAAATTTAAAACAGAATGTTTTGAATATGTATGCAATAGGTTTCACCACATTAACACAATTTTTAACACAAATACAGTGGTCAAATAATTTACAGTCATTCCTATTTCCATTGGCATTGATAATAAGGTATGCCTTTTGAATATCATTATAATAATTTCCCAAACATTTGTTCAAAATTCCATTCTGGTGAAAATTAAAATGCAATGAAATAATGCCTCAATGTTTATTGCAAAAAGGAAGTTAGGAACAAGTAAAAATAAGAATAATAAAAAAGTGTTGAATGATTTTGTTGACACAAAGGTGTCGCTTTGGCTGACCTATTAGCACAGCCAGTAGAACACTTTCTTTATCACCTCTGCCTCTCCTTCTCAGTATTTGAGAAAACACTGACAGAAATTAAATTGATGCTCTAAGTTCAATAATTGTATTACTGACACAAATCACATTTCAAAATGCTATCTTTGTGATTAAAGACCCACAATATCGCAAAGTTTTTTAAAAATCAATCTTTTGTGCTAAACAAAAAAAGATACAAGATCAGTTTTTGAAGATGTACATTTATGTATGCAAACGTATGTATGGCCATAAAATATAAACATACATAGATATAAACTTTCATTTCAATATTTCGGTTCCGAAAACAGGTAAAACTTTGCAAGTTCTATGTTTTTCTTTTTTGAAAAAGGGTGTGAGTTTAAACTAATATGTTTTAAAAATACCCACCCATATCATTCTATTATATCAATGTTCATAGAAAATAATATATGAAAACAAACTATTGGAAGAGGCAATTAGTGGAAGAAAATGTAACCTTCCCACTGCATTCTCACTACAGGCCTTTTCTAGGTGCACAGACCGGCTTTTAAGAATTGCAAGTGCTGTAGTAGGGAAAAGAGAGATATACTTTTCCTTATGGAAACAAGATGGTATAGAAATTAATGACATCACAGAGTTACCAAATGATGTCTGTATATATGAAATGCCTAGCTAAAATGCTTCACGAGGCTCAAGTAAACACCTCTTGATGTGGGTGCTTAATTTTAGGCACAGCTACAGATATAAAAAGGCAAAGTTCCTTTTAACTAGTACTTACCTGTGCACATTTTCCATTGCTGCTACCTCTGCTAAGGCAGCTAGACTGAAGAATGCAGATACAGATGGCATGTCTGATGTCATACTATGATTTTCCGCTACATCGTTGTTTAGCAAGGATTCCTTGCTACATTCCATCCCTGTATTTAATGTTCTCTGAAGAGTATTTTGCCCTTTTGGTTTCTCTTCTAAAAGGAAGCAAAATAGCAAAGGTTGTTTTAACAGATTCCAATCTTCCTTACACTGAGATGAAAAAATAAAGCCTTATTCAGGGTTCTTTCCTCTTTATAATCAAACCAACATGGAGACATACAACATAAAAACAAATCCAGCGAATCAATTTTCCATTCACTGTCCACTGTAGGAAAATATAGGAGAACTTCTGTCCTTCTAATACTTACCTTGAGATTGTGCTACTTTCTATAGTCTTTAGTATATTATAAAATGTTTTTTTTTATTTTTTTATTTGATTTATATGCCGCCCTTCTCCGGAGACTCAGGGCGGCTTACAATGCATTAAGCAATAGCCTTCATACTTTTTTTTTGTATATTTATACAAAGTCAGCTTATTGCCCCCACAAACTGGGTCCTCAATTTACCCACCTTAGAAAGGATGGAAGGCTGAGTCGACCTTGAGCCTGGTGAGACTTGAACTCGCAGTAATTGCAGGCAGCTGGATGTTAAATGCTGCCTTAGGAGGCATTAGCCTCCTACGCCACTCAGGCTCAAATTGTTTTAAATTGTGTGCATTGCACCACATTTTAAACAAGTCTTAATGTGGTACTTTATTCTTTTGCTAAGTAATTTAAGCATTATTATGAAGAAAAGTGAAACATATACTTTTGAAATATGAATTTAAATGGACTAGAACTGGCCACATTAGCTCAGTTGACTACTAGGTATACTATAGGCTAAAATGAAAGTATAAAGTGACAAAAATACCAAAAAGAACAATACATTCAATAAACGACAGAATCATAAATACAGTATTAGAATCAAGGGAAGTATATAAATATTAATTTTATACAAGATAATGGATAAGTATAGATACAATGGTGGAAAATACTGAGGAACTACTGTTAATTGTAATAAGTGCATCATGCATGTCAAACTGAAAGTATAAATGCAAGTAGTCAACATAATACATGCTATAAGAATAATGAAAGGAACAAATTTAGTATGTCTATCTTATGAAAAATAGAACTTAAAGAGACACTCTAAACTTAAGCAGAAAAACATTCAAGAAACAAACAATCCAACCAGCTATTAGAAAAAAATGATCCAGATATCCCGAAGAAAGTGGTCTAAGTTTGTGAACCTTTGCTTTCACCCTGCCTGGGTATCAACAACTGCAATTAAACATTTCCAATAACTGTTTCTTCAGTCTTGCACATTGGCTTGGAAGAATTTTAGTCCATGCCTCCTTATAGAACAGCTTTAATTCAGGGATGTTGTTGTTGGTAGGCTTCCTTGCCTGAACGGCCTGCTTCAGGTCCTTCTACAAGTTTTCTGTAGGATTATGGTCAGGACTTTGAATTGGCCATTTCAAAATATTAACTTTCTTCTGCTCTAACCATTCTTTGGTTATACAATTTTTATATTCTGGGACTTTGTCTTGTAATACAACTTGTCTTTTGGAAGGATCTTACATCCACAGAAATCAACAATAAGCCCTAAAGTAATTAAGACAGGAAGTCGGCAAACATAGTGCCTCTTTAAAAGATGTTGACTCTCCCAGACCTCTCAAATCTGCTGGAAAATACTGTTTTGCAATCTCTTCAGAAGGAGCCAATATGAGTGATCCTTGTCTTCTTAGTCCAAAGAAAAGTTCTGAGGAGCTAATCCCTTCATTGGCTCCTATTTTTACCACATTCATTAGTTCCACAAAAAGCAAAGTCATGCTCAGTCTGCCATCCTACCCTAAAAGTCAAAGCTTAATATGAAAATATAAATGAAAAGTAAAAAAAAAAAAAATCCAACTTAGTATGAAGGCGAAGGTATTCTCAACTTGTATGTTTAATTAATGTAGAAGTGATAATTAAGAAATCAAGTTAGTAGACAGTTTTATTTATGGGATTCAGTGATAGATAAAATGGGCAGAGTGCTAGGAAATAAAGTATTGATGTTTGAAATGAGCTAGATATATTCTGAGAAAGGAATTTGGGCCATGCAAGCAGTGTGAATTGTTTTATCAATTTTCTTCCAACTGCTTCAGATCAGTGGTGAGGAAAAGAGTTGCTCTCAACTTTCTTTGCCAATGCTGGCTGAAATACTTCTGAAGCTGAGTGGATTTAGCATTGTTTCCACTAAAGATACCTGGTCTGGGAGAAGTTTTGGTCAGGGATGCTTGTCAACAAGTCTGATGGAGGACGTGCCATTTGACTCTTCCCCAGCACTGGACAGTATCCTATACAGGTAAACTGTGGTTGTGAGGAAGCCAGGAGTGCCTCCTTTCTGGCACTACCAGAACTTTTGACAAGTGCTAAAAACATGGCAGTTGCCTCTTTTCCTTACTACTCACCAAGGCAACAGAGTGTAGCTGGCCCCTTCCAGTATCACTCTGGGATAACTGGAAGCACTCACTGAAACCAATGATCTGAATGTTCTTTGGTGCAAAGAAACAAAGGGGCAGCAAACTGGCTGTCATTCTGTGGTCACCATGCCATGCAGATGATGCTGGGTGAGCTGAGTGAACTTTAGCCAGGTGTGTACGTGTAGCTCCTCCTAGGGGTGGTTAAAGAAGGCTCTTCATAGCTTTCTCCATATATTAAAAAGCTTGGACAGGCTCCTAAATAGGTGTTGTTGCAACTTTCACTTAAAAGCAAGGGGTTAATGTAACTTTCTAAAATAAGTATGGGAAGCTCCTTTATTTGAAGCTTTATTCAAAGCTTTGTATCCTTTGAAACTTGCAACCTAGATTATCCTAGGAAAGAATATAATGATAAATTGTAAAGTATAAGAACATTTTGGTGACAACAAATATCTAAATAATTAAAGGAGTTGTCTTTCTAATAATAATGCCCAGCTGTAAAAGCTGGAACCTGAAAAAAAGCAAAAAGAAGATAGTTACTTTTAAATTATAGATTTTGATATGTTAATAAAAGCACTATGAGCTGCAAATAGAACCAATGAATTGCATCTGGTCAAATAAAGGCTTGCTAAATGATGTGCATGCAACATAAGTATATAATGGGCTAGAAAAGAATGATTATGCTCAGCAAGATTGAGGTAAATATAAGAGGAAAACAATAGATACAATGGATAAAAAAGGTCAAAGAGATTACCAAAATGTCCTTGGATTAATTTTATTACTGAAGAAAGGGAGCCACAGTGGGCATTTGTCCATATAGTTGCTACAAGATGAACCTATTCTATGCTAAGTAGCTATACTATCTAGTCACAAGACATAAAATATCACATGCTTCATTATGTATAGTTTTCTTGGTGTACATTGATCAAGTAATAGGTATATATTTAAAGAATTTAGCTTAATTCAGGTTGGCTAATTTCTTTTTAGACTTTTCAAATTCTGGAACAATCCCAAGAAAAAGAAATTCTATAAAATTACAATTAAAGAAATCTTTGTACCAGAAATCTGGACATTTTGATAAAAATATAACGGCATATTTTTGGAATGGTCTAGGGACCGTGATGGTGAACCTATGGCACGAGTGCTGGAGGTGGCATACAGACCCCTCTCTATGGGCTCTGTCGCCATCTGCTCTTCTGGTTTCTGGCATGTGCATGCATGCCGGCCAGCTGATATTCGCATGTGCCAGAGCCCCAGGAACCCGAAGACCAGCTGGTTGGTGTGCAAGCGCATGCTGGCCACCTGGTCTTTGGGTTTCCAGGCTCCGGCATGGGCGAAGACTAGCTGGCCGGTGCGTATGTGCATGCTGGAAACCTGAAAACCAGCTGGCTGGCGCACATGTGTACAGGCCAGCTGGTCTTTAAGTTTCTGGGGCTCTGGGGCACACGTGCATTCCAGTTTGGGGACTCGGTGCCGAAAAGGTTTGCCATCACTGGTCTAGGGCATTCTTTTTCAAGTTCTTTCTTAAATATAAGTGATTTTTAAAATTCTTTACGGAACACTTCATTCTGAAACTGTATAACACTAATAACGCAAGATATATTCACTTGTACCACTTCTTTTTAAACAACTAATAGCTTACAAATCTACATTTTTGGGTTCTCTTTTTTGTTTCTATGATTCCTGGAACTCACAGACAAATTTGAGTAATGAATGAATTTGTAGTTGTAGCCAAAGAAAATCAGTCATATACTTACTTACCCAAACCTTGCCCTGCTGGTGAAACTCGACCATCTGCTGTCCGAACAAGATGTGTGATCTTGGTTTTCCTTGCTTTTCTCTTCTGACTTCCAACCAAAGGTTCTTGTATTACCACAGACTCTGGAATATTTAGAAGAAAGTTAGAGCTGTTATTTTTCCCTAGCACCTCATTGGTGCTAGAATAAGGTTGCAATGGAGAAACTACTTGACTGTTAGCAAAATATTTTCCGCAGATCTTTTAAGAATTCTAAATAAATGGACTTCCGGTTTGCTGTTTGTTGCTGCCAGACGTTCCTTTGGGATCGTCAGCTTCCACCGCCTGTCAGAGCCGCCTTCACAACGGAATGGCGGCTCGAAAAAACTCCGTTTCCATGAGGAAACGGAGATAGAGCCGGCAGGGGTGGGTAGAACTCTCTGCGGAGTCCCAAAAGTTTTTCCTTTACTTTTGGGACGGAGCGGATGAGATGCCCCGTATCCCCAGCCGCTGTTCCGGGCTTTGGGAGACCTCTGCTGATGCAGAGCCAGGCGTCAAAAGCAAGCCTGCAAATTTAACAGATTACTCAAAGAAATGTGAGCTGGACCTGTAATACTGAACCGCAAGTATTTTACTGATTTTTTAAAAAAAATTACTTAAGAGAGAGGAGGAAAAGAAAGAGGAAAAAAAGCCTTTTAAAATGGTGTCGGCTGGAGGAGAGGCTGAAAGGGAAAGTCCTTCCGTTTTCTATTACTACAATGTAGCGGAATAAATACCACTGGCTACATTTGTAGACAAAACTTCGCTCCTGTGTCTTTTTCTCTTTTTTTTTCCCTTGGAGATCTGATATTGTTGTTGACTGGAAAGAAATCTTTCTTGCTTTTTTTTAACAAAGCCTGCCTGGGCGGAAACATGGCACTGAGACTCATAAAGTCAGATAAACAAGAAGGGGGGGGGAATTCCCCCACCAATAATTTAAAGGAACAAGTCTTAACTCTTCAGTCTCAGAAACCTGATTTTAATATAACAGAATTTTTTATAGAGGAGATTGAAAGAAGGGAGGAGATTGTGAATCAGTAACTTGAAAAATTTAAGCAGGAAATTGAAGAAATTAAAGAATTGGTGAAATCTAAGTTTGATTCTTTGGACAAAAAATTCTCAAAAGTGGTTAATGGTTTTACAGAATTTATGATACAGTTGGACACAAATACTAATGTACTAGAGTCTAAAATGGAAGAAATTCAAGATAAATTGGACAATAGAATTCAAAAAATTGAAAATGATTTGATAAACACTCAGGATAATAGCTTAGAAGAAAAACCTAAAATGGATGCTGATCAAAAGTATGGTAATGCAGAAAATCTGCAACAGAAGATTGAAAAAGAGATTTTAATGGTACAATATAATTTCACAGAATATGTGATAAGATTAAGAGGTTTGCAGGAAAATAATAGAGATGATTTAAGGAAAATATCTTCTGAATTTCTAGCTGGGATTCTAAAGGTTCAACCTGACGAAGTGTTTTGTAGGATTGACAGAGTTTATCGAATCAACTCCTGGATTGCCAAGCAAAGGCAATTGCCTAGAGACGTGGTGATTTATTTTACAGATAAGGAAATTAGGAATAATATCGTGCAAAATTCCTTCAATTCTAATTTGCAATTGTATGGAAGAAAGATTTGGATTTACAAGGAACTCCCACCTAAGATATTGATGGAAAGGAAGAAATTTGGTTTTCTGGTGAATGAGTTAAAAAAGAGAAATATTTCATTCAGGTGGGACGCCCCAGTTGGTATTATATTTAGATACCAAGGAGAAAGATATCAGCTAAATACTGTTGAAAGAGCGGAAGAAATTTATCAAAATAGGTTGAAAATGAACTTAACATCTTCAGGTATAATACAGGATAAGCAGAAGGAGCCGGAAATAAAGGTAAAATATCGAATTATAGAGACTGTACTAGATGAATTGCCTTTGGATTTATTGGATACCCCAGCTGGACTATCTACAAATTTGAGAGAAGTGGCATCTAATTTTAATGTGATGACTTATCAAGGCAAGGATAAGCATGGAAACCTACTAGGGGATATACAAGGGATAAAAAAGAAACATGAGATACAAAAACAAAACCAACAAGACCAATCTACAAAGCAGAATAAAAACCGACCAGATGATACACAATTTGTAGAAAGGAAACCAGGATGGAAACCAAACCCACAAAAAGAAAAGAAAAAGAGAAATAGGTGGCATAAAAATAGAAATTTTTAAATTAGGCAACAGTGAAGCCAGTGACTTTAAAATATGAATGATTATGTGTAAACACAGAAGAGGCGACGTATTGGTTAATATCATCCTGAGGATTGTGGCAGATCTCTGCATGGCCGTAATTTGGGGACGTGAAATGAGCCTTAAACTGATGGATTTGAATTATCCATTTTGGAATTTCTCTTTGTGTTGATAAACATATTATATTATCTTGAATCACAAGGCAAGAGAATGATGTTGGGGCATGCAGAAGATCGGGTTGTTACCCACTACGATGATGGGAATTAATAATCCTGATGAAACCCACAATTATTACTATATGGAATATAATTATAATGTCACTCGGGTGGTTGTTTTTACTTTTATACATATAAGAAGATATTTACTACTGATGGGGGCAGATATGATTGAAGATCCTGAATAAACTGTTGCACCAGCAAGCTATGTTACCCGATTATGGATGTTGGTTCTACCAATCCAGTGGAAAGACCTCAAAGAAGATACTATATGGATTATAAATTTAAGTCATTGTCTTTTCTTTTTTTTTATTTAGATATAATGGAAAATATAGACATATATTTTTAAGTAGTGTGGGCAGTGAATCAAAGATATTAAGAAATGTTGTGTATGGTAATTTTGTATGATAGTGGGTGAATAAGCTAGTTAGTAGATTGATTAGTCTAAGAAAAGGGAGTTTTAAGTGATATATTTAGGGGAGTGGAGGAAATGGATAGAGTGGAATAAATGTTAAACTAGATTTTATGGGGAAGGCCGCTTTGAAATGTTATAGTAACATATATAGAAGATTAAATGTTAAAGTAGGACTTATCGTATAGTTTTAAAGTGGAGAAGTTATTCTATAATGTTATAGTATAATGTCTTTTTTTTCCCCTTTCTTTTCTCTTTTCTGAAATGTATGGATAAAGGGGGATGTTATAATATTAATAATATTTTTAGTAAGTAAAGGTCAATATCTAGAGGAGGGAGTAAGTAATCTGTTATGAATTAGGTTTTTTTTTTGTTATGAAGAAGTCACAGGGGGGGATGGGTGGGGAGGAGGGGTTAGGGAGGGGGAGGGAGAGGGGAAAAAAAGGGGGGGGAATTTGTATTTGAAAACTTTTTCAATAAAAAAAAGAATTCTAAATAAATGTAAGAGGCTAAGGAGAAATCTATCTAGTTTCAATAAGGATTAAAAGAGTTACTACAGTATTTAGTTATTTCATTGAATTAAAAGTTTTTATCTGCACACTGGAACTGTGAAGGGGCACTTAATTAGCAATGCTATTGTTCTATAACATTTTTGATAGATTTTTCAAAGTACAGGTAATCCTCTATTTATGACTGTTTGTTTAATGACATCAACAGTTTTGATGACACTGAAAAAAGTGACTTATAAGCGGTTCTCTGACTGGTAATGTGCGACCTTCCCAGAAGGCATCTGACAAGGAAATTCAAGGGAGGAAGTCAGATTCGCTTACTATGTGATTAGTGTAATAATTGCGGTGATTTGCTTAGCAACAAAAAAAGTCATAAAATCGGGCATGACTCAGTGAACAGTAATATTGCTTAGCGATTACAACTGTGGTTGTAAAACAATGACTCATAGGAACAATATTTCAAATATTGACTCACTATTTCATCCCATAAAAAGCAAATAAAAGTAACTTAACCTCAACTAAATTGGATTGTTTTCACACAAGCCACTTTATTAGAATTCTTCAAGTTGAATTACTTACTAATTTGTTTTATTTTCAGTATTTTTCATATGGGTTTCTCAACTTAAATAATATTAAATAACTGGTTTCCCCTCTGAGGAGAATGCTTTCAATTATGCTTGCAGAGAAAAACCTCATTTATAGAAGTAATTTAGCTGCAGTGACATAGCTGGACAACAGTAAAGTACTGTAACATATTAAATATTATATGAAACAATGTATTTAATACTGAACCAATATTAAAAATAGCTTAGTTAATCAATTTGTTTACAATCTTCTCCATTTTGTATATAAACAAGATTCTAGATATGTATGAGAAAAGGAGTGATAGAATATAGTTTCTATTGGTATTGTAGGAAAGCTATGACTCAGCAGCATTACTGAATAGCATTCAATTATGTCCCATTCTTGGAGGCTGCAGTTTTATTGGCATGGTTTTTCTGAAGTGATTAACCATTGCCTTTTTCCTAGGGCTGAGAGAAAGTGACTGGCCCAAGGTTACCTCTCATTGCTTCATGCCCAAGACAGGGCTAGAGCTTAGAGTCTCCTGGTTTCTAGCCTTAATCACTCTACCAAACTGTCTGTCTGAAAAGTATCAGTAATGAATTATAAAACAGAAATATATCACACAAAATAGCCATAGATTCTAGATTTGTCTTTTCTAGCCCTCTCAAATGCCAGTGGAAAAACAGAAAAAGAATGCAAAAATTCTGACATTCCTTCATTTATCTTCATGCATAAATGAAGAATAGCACTTCTGACCTAAAATGTGGCTTCAAGTGAGTTTGCATTGCTGCAAGCACTTACCTTTGTTAGATTTTGTTTGGTCTATAGCATAACTGCCAACTTTCTTCTTTTTTCTTGGTAGAGAGGCATTTTTACGATCAAATGTGATTGGACTGTATTGAGGAAGGCTGTTGAACTTTTTCTCAAATTCTTCTTCCAGCTTTGCTAAACTAAAGATGTGAAAGCAGAAAATCAAACAAATTAAAATAATGTAGATTTTAATATATTATGTTGAATAAAATAGGGGAGATGGTCCAGCTTTTGGGCCCAAGTGCTAAAGTCCTCCAGAACTTGAATTCTCTTTCCTACACAGTCTGGAACCATACACTCATGAAAAAGCAGAATCGTTAAAGAAGAGCAATTCCCAGTTCTGATTGGTGATCCAGAAGCATACTATTTTAATAGTATAGAAGGTGACCAAAAGATCTAGCAGGGCCAGTATGGTTACATTCCCTTAGCCATGTATTGGTAATCAATGTGGTAACCCAACCATCAAGCAATATTACGATTTGCTCCTGTTCAGGGCAGTTTTGCACGTATAGGCTGCACACAAATGATTTTCCATGTCTTGTACTTTTAAAGTAAGTAACATATATACTTGCGGATAAATGCCATGAAAAAGGTACCTTGGATTAGCCTCAAAATTTTTATTTTTATTTATTTTAATTTTAATTTGTGGTAAGTCAAATACTTATAATTATTTCATACTTAGCTGTGTTTTTCATGTATTTTAGTTTTTTTAAAAAAAATCAAGGATCAGCTGATCTGTGAGTAAATATGGGTATTTTAAAAAAGTAATATTTGCAGATAAGCCCATCTGGGGATAAGCAAAACATCCCCAGGGGGATGTATTTGGGACTTAACATTCTTGACTTATCCATGAGTATATAGGGTGTACATGTATGTAACTGAACACAGTTCACTATAGTTTGACTTGAGTTTCAAATCTAAATTTTGTACATTTTTGCAAACCTAAAATTTGCAAATCAAAGGAATTGTGACCCAGATAGTATATAGGATGACTTTCCCAAAGATCTTTCGTATGTAACTTTGATAATATAATTACATTTCTCAGTAAGTGCTGTGCTAATTGTATAATATTCATGTAATTTAAGCTAAAGGACCACTGAATCAATGTATGTATGTATGTATGTATGTATGTATGTATGTATGTATGTGTGTGTGTGTGTGTGTATGTGTTTATACCCTTGTTTGTTACCATTTGTATCTCTCCTTTTGAAGTTGAAAAAGAAACTGACAAAAGTGACAAAAAGTGAGCAAGATATCTGTTTCACAAGGTATTTCATTTCTAATCATTACCAAACTATTTTGAAAGTAACTTATACCCTTACATACTTATTATATCACTTACCCCAAAACAATGTCTTCCTTTGGCTTACTTCTTTTTAACTTTTTGTTCCCACTTGTCCCACTTAAGGAAAATGCCCAAGTTTCTTCATTCCAGCATCCTTCCTGATCAGAGTTGCCACCTTTTCCTGAGCTTCGTTTTCCTAAGAAAGTGAGTAGGAACAAGAAAAACTGCATGGAGATTACTGGGAAACTGTATAACAGAGGCACACTCGAAACATAATATATTGCTTTTTGCTGAGTAGGATGACTGATTCATCTCACTAGGTATATCAGAGACTATCCTAGGACTTACAAAAGCATTACATCATCATTTCATATAGCAATTTCCTCGCAAGTCCCCATGAATTGATATAAGTAGTATAATTTAATGCTAATTAGTAAATATGAACCTAAAACTAAGGAATGAAAGAGGAAAATAATCTGCTTAAAATAACAACTACATCAATAGCAATCATTGTTTAAAAATTCATACTATTAGCATTTTACAGCCTTCATATAAAGTTTTACGAAGCAACTAGATATCTATTATCCTTAAGGCTAAAAATGGAAATGTATGTTTAAAAACCCCCTGCACATATTCCTAAGAACTCCAAAGAGACTCACATAAACAAATATACAAAGGGAAATTGAGTATTAACATAGACAGTCTCCTCTCTATGTATTAAAAATGATAAACTAGTACTGTTTATAATTGGATACAAAAATATTTTCATGTCATAGCCAGTGGTCAGCAGGACTTATTCAGATTCCAGTTTGCTTGAAGCTAAGAGCTGATTAATCTCTAGATGAAAAACTACCCTGGAATCCTATGAATCCACAGAAAAAAAAAGTGAGCTAGAACTGTAAACAATGAAGAAATAAATGGATTCTTAGAAGATTTTTACATATATTCCATAAATCTAGTACAATGGTTGTGGATGCTGGCTTTTGATTTATTAGTACAATGTTCAGCCTAAATGAGAAATAATTTATATAATGGCAAATGTATAATAGCAAATGTTTTTTTTGGGGGGGGGGGGAGTACAGTTGTAGTATGAAAGAATGTTTTATAATTAAGATGTAGAAATGTGGAAGGAGGATTTGGGATGTGAATTAGGAACAGTCCTTTGAAGTACAATTATTCATTATGGTATGAAGGTTAGCTACATTCTAACAGAATTTCAAAGTATGTAGGGAAAGTTAGGATAAATTGCCCGATATTATCAATGACATAAAATGGCTTTAGATGCTGCTGTAAAAGTTACAGACCTATAATGTACAACAATGCACCTAAAATACCAATTTTTTGAAATTAGGGTTTAAGTATCCCCAAGGTGATTGAATATTTTGGAAAATATGGCTTATCATTTGTTTGATATGTCTTAGTTTGACTTTGCTAGACTCTCTTTTTTGTCCCATCTGGAAAAAGCCTTTGCATTGCATTTGAACCACATGGCATGTTAAAAGTGAGAGAAGATATGCAGCCATTTGCTATTATCACTGACACATATTTTAGAAATAAGCTCACTGAAAGCAGACTTATTGTCGAAGATTAGAAGGAATTATATTCAATTTACTTTGAATAATGAAACATAAAAACATGATTAATTATAATTTTGTGGGTTTTAAAATTTGAGGTGGACATATTAAAAGCTAAATACCTCTATCAACATTGGAACGCAGAGATGTAAGCATGCCTTCTGACACCAGAGTTTTGTACAGTGCACCTTTGCAAGCTCTTTCAGATTTTCTCGAGCCACAAATTTCTGCCTTTTTATTACAGTCACTGTCCTCAATTTTTACTTGATCTGGTAAACTCTGTGATATTATATCCTCTGTTGGGGTTAGAATATCTGATATTGTGTTTTCAGATACTTCACATGGTACATCCTTGTCATCTTTAATGCTAAAAATATCAGGAGGCTTCGATTCTTTGGTGGTCTCTAAACATTTTTCTTTCAGTGTTCTTTTTTCTTTTGACTTTACTTTCTTCTTTGGTGACTTTGTGTCCAAAATATTGCCCTTCACTGCAGAAGAAAGGCGAATTTTCTTATGGGACATTTCTGTAAGTCTCTCTGTCCCCCAGTCCCCTTTTGCAACTGCTTCAATAGTATAAATGACACTCTCAATATCTGATTCGGAAGACTGCCTTTTTTTGCAAGTCTTTTTAGGAGTACATTTCTCAAGTCCTTGTCGGTCCACTTTATTTTTCTTCTTTTTCTTCTTCAGTTTTTCTGGTTTGTTTAATCCTAAAGTGCTGATGTCAGCTACTGATGTCAGCTCATGGGAACAGCATGCAGGATCTTTTGCTGTTGCACTGTCATGTCCAACTAATGTAATGCTGTTCAAAGCTGGATCTGAAATATGTATACACCTTGTTACCTCTTCGAAAACTCCAGTCTTTGTCTTTTCATGTTCTTGTCCCTTCATTTTCTGAGATTTTTCTGTTTTTACTTTTGCTTTCTCCGAATCTGGAATTTTCATCTGTTCAGATGCTTCCAGTGTTTTGACAATCCTGGCTGTTTCAGGTTTTGCCTTCCCAGGTTCTCTCACTTTTACTTCCTCTGATGCAAGACACATCTGAAACAAACTCCAATATTAATTCTCCTTTATTATGGAATGTTAAAAGATTGCATAACAGTTCTACAAATTACTCTAGCATTGGTATAATCATTTTAGTAGCAGTGCATTCTATATTTTCTATACTATATACCTGTGATAGCGAACCTATGGCACACGTGCCACACTTAGCACGTGTATCCATATCAGTGGGCACGCCAGCTCAGCTCTGGCACACATGCGTGCGCCGGCCAGCTGATTTTCGGACCTTCTGGGCCTACCAGAAGTAGAGAAACAAGTTGTTTCCTGCCTCCGGAGGTCCTGGGGATGGGTGGGTGGGGAAGGCCCATTTTTCTTTCTCATCTGGCTCCAGATCCTTTCTATGCATCTGGGGAGGGCAAAAACAGCCTTCCCCGCCCCCTCAGAGACCCTCCGGCGGCCCGTTTTTCAACTTCTGGTTGGACAGGAAGTGACATTTTTTGCTACCCCCAGCCTCCAGAGACTCCTAGAGCTGTTTTCGCCCTCCCCAGATACATAGAGAGGATCTGGAGCCAGGTATGAGAGAAAAACAGGCCTATTGGGCCATTGTGTGCCAGGAGCGGGGGGGAGGGGGAGGCACAAGTGCGCATAGAATTATGGGTGTGGGTACTCGCATGCGCAAACCTCTCCTGCCCCCCCCCTTCCTGGCACGCGATAGCAAAAAGGTTAGCCATCACTGCTATATACGATGGAAGATACACCTAACAAAAACACTTTTCTGTCTTCATGGTGACTGCACTGAACTCTTTGAAATCTGGGAATATATAAATAGTGTACAAATACTTTGGAACAAGTATGTATTAGACTAATAAATTAACTGTCTACAATGGTAAACAAATTACATTCAATTATGTACTCTTACTGTAACAACCTAGTAGTAAAATCATTGAAAGGCATGGAGAAAACGCTGCTTATTTCAATTTCAATTAAGCTGAATGAGTTCTCAAAAAAACATTCAAATCTAATTTCATTAGCTCTAGAGTACTTGCATAGTACCTTTTAATTTCTGTACTGTATACACATGGAACCTAATTTAAGACATTTTAAATAACAGCTATATCTCAGGAACTGATCCAACATGTCAGGTTTAGACTGTTTCATCTACAAAGTTGTTGCTATTAAAACAACAACAATCAAAGAAGAAAATATAAAGGATATAAATATTGGTGTAAAGCTAATAAAATGGCAGTGATAGCTCTGCTGACATTTTTTCAGTGTTTCATATTAAAAAAGTTTTTATAAAAGCATAAAATTCTTAATTTAATAAATTTCTTGCAGTTTGAATTTGTCAGCATGCTGCATTTGCCTCAAAGTTGGTGGGATGTAAAAAGGATTATCCTGACTTGTGAGATTCTGTCTCTGTATAGATTCTGTCCTCCATAGAATAACATGATTATAGCAATAGTAGTAGCATTTAGACTTATATACTGCTTCACAGTGCTTTACAGCCCTCTCTAAGCGGTTTACATAGTCAGTATATTGCCCCCAACAATCTGGGTCCTCATTTTACACACCTTGGAAGGATGGAAGGCTGAGTCAACTGAGTATGCTTGGTTTAAAACTAGGCTCTGATTTCATTTCTGGCATACTAGCTTACATTGCTGCTTATCTGACCCAATGATGAATACTAAGCTAAAATTAATCTATCAAGGACAAAGTTTTCAGTGTTTAATAAGGAAAATGAAGTGAATGATAACAAGCTATATATAGATGCCAAAAAACTAGTGTGTCGATAAGTTTTTTTAAAAAAGGGCATTAAAAAAGGGGGAGTGAATACAAAGCATAACTGACAGTATCAATACATTATCTTTGTTTGATTATGTGGACAGAATGGATGAAAATCAAATAGATAAAGAATTAGGGGCTCCAGAGGATGGGATCAGAAAGCTGGAATTGATAAAGAAATTTAAATAGCAAAAGATAGCTCGTGCAATTTGTAAGGCTAGAAAGTACAGGTAGTCCTCAACTTACAACCACAGTTGAGCCCAAAATTTCTGTTGCTAAGCAAGACATCTGTTAAGTGACTTTTGTTGCATTTTTCAACCTTTCTTGCCACAGTTGTTAAGTGAATCACAGCAGTTGTTAAATTAGTAAAATGATTGTTAAGTGAATCTGGCTTCCCCATTGACTTTGCTTGTTAGAAAATCACAAAAGGTAATCACATGACCCTGTGACACTGCAACCCTCATAAATATGAGTCAGTTGCCAAGCTTCCAAATTTTGATCATGTAACTGTGAGGAATGCTGCAATGGTCATAAGTATGAAAAATGGTCACTTTTTTCAGTGCCGTTGTAACTTTGAATGGTCACTAAATGAACTGTTGTAAGACAAAGACTACCTGTATGCAGAAATAAGGTGAATGGTCTTTATTTTAGTTATGTTTCCTTTTTATTTTTATCTCATGTCTTTAAATAGTTTGGTTTTATTATTATTATATTATGTTTGTGTTTTGCATAATGCTTTTTCTTAAGAAGAACACAATATATATGTGTATACTGTATATATGTAATAAATTTCTTGCATAGGATCTAGCCTGCTTGTCAATATTTTATTACAAAATGCGGTATTTTATTGCAAATTGAGTGCACTGAATTTACACACACAGGCAATTGCTATTGTATAATTTGTAAGGAATGTGATACTACAGACATGTACTTAATAGTGTTTGTTTCATTAACATTGACAAAGAATTGAACCCTCTGGGCACCAAGTCAATTTAGACTTGGAAACATCCAAGTCTAAAGATGTTTCAAAAAGAAAAGAATGATAGTTTACATGTTTTATATACACTCAAATGTTTGTACAATGTATTACTCAAAATGTGTTACAATTCATGCTGCTATTTGTTTGCCTTCCCCTGGAAACTTAGAATACCATTCCTGAAGCTGCTTTTTCTTTAATTTTTGTTTTTAAAAGTTGCACACATTAAAATAATAGTAAAAGTATATTATACATGTTGTCTGAAAAATAATAATATTTTATTGGCACTTGGTTGGTTCTCAATGCAAATATATAGATATGTGCCATGTACCAAAACAGATTTATATGAAATTTCAATGAATTATAGATTTATGTTCACATTTGATTGTGCCTAAAATCTTACATTGCAAAACTCAAAGAAGGTTTTTTACAATTATTTTCTTTTCCCTTTCTGACCAAATCATGAAATGTACATTTGAGGGAATTAATTCTACATAAAAAAAATAATAATTTGCCCCTATTTGTTTGCTATCTTTATTGAGAACTATAAATTACCAACTGTGAAAGAAAGACAATGATAGAGAGCAAGGTATATAGTTTAAACAATAAGAAGGTATCTTTAGAAAGTAATTTATTCTTGATTAACTACTACCTCTGAGACACTGACAAGCTTGAGAATGGTAAGGTGAGGTAGAGATCATGTAGCTGGATACAGCTTTAAGACACTCATCTGTGGAAGCAAGAGAGCTAAAAGGGTATTGTGCCCTTGACATACTGCTTTGGGACATACTGGGAAAAGGATGCCTTATAGTTTAGTATTTAGATGGATTTAAGAATCACACTCTCTGAATAAGAAATAGTTTCCATGATTTCTCTTTTATGATTTGCAACTGGTCAAGGCCCATAAATATCAATGAGTGATACAACTTATTCATGCATCATTATATGAACGTCTTCCTTTAAAGATATGAAATGTTTAAAACTATTTAAGAGAACTACTGTATGCACTTTACAATTATGCTCTACCTCAGTAGGCTACTGCTTCTTGGAGCTAGCTGTTTGTAACTTCTTGATACTACATGCCTAATGGTTAGACAAGATAAATCTAGATTCTTGGCATGAACAGTAATTTAGGCTTCTATAAACAACAATGCTAATTATGTCTGTACTATAGCTCTATTTCCTAGACTTTGGCAACCAGCATCATTCAGCTTCTATTTCCCAAATGTACCATTAGTAATTAAGCCACAGGATTTTAATACTACCTCTGCCAACTGAAACAATGCTGATGTCCCACACTGTTTCGTTAATTCAGAAGGACCTGAATGGGATGTACTTGATGAGATCTAAAGTAGAAATAAAGAAAATGAGGTGTTGAAACAGATAATATCACAAAGTCACTGATAAAATTGCATCTTCAAAGTGAACACTGAATGTCTACGGAAGCTTCAGATTTGACAGTAATATTTGGAATACTGGAATTCCACAAAAATAAAAAGTATTCAATCAACTAGGTTCAATTTCAATTCAGTTTTGATAGCAAGAATTAATGAATTATACCACTACAAAGGAAATTTAAATTTAAAAGTTATATAACTACACTACTGGAAATTGCAACTGTTTTTTATTTTCATGGTAGTTCATTTAAATTTTATGTACACATAAAATAGATGCAATGAAGTAATGCACTTGAATTCCAAGAGTATCAGTTATTTGTATTTCTCCTCTTCTTTCCTCCTTCCATTTAAAAGAAAAAAGGACTTTTCTGAGAACTGAACTGTACTTAAACCATGCTGTTATAGCCATTGGAATGCAACAGACCTACTTCTAACAATGAAAATTAATTAGGTTTGAAATGGCAGGGGAGGTGTAGTTGGCTTATTGACTCTGTATTTTTGAGATTTCTTGCTATATTTAATATCATAACTGTTCTTGATATTTATCTTGTTTGAGGTACAATTGTCTATATTGTCTTTTAAATCATTTATATTATATTTATTTTATTTAACTATTGTGCAACATTCTGAATTAATATAGTATATTGTGAGGGAAAATATTCTGTAAGGTTATATAAACTAATGAGTTAGAATAAAATAAAAGTATAGGAAAAATGATTTGGAGGCTCAAGTATGAAAAAGAATAGTGAATAGAATTTATTTGCTAAGGAAAAGTTATGTTTATTTAAAATACCTGGCTTAAGCCAGGGTCTATTAATGTGTAAACATGGCAAATGAATTATCTGAAAACATGAGTTGATTGTTGAAAACTGAGAGAATTAAGGAGGGATGCAAGGCTGAATAAAAGTTCTGAACTCTAGCTGGCTTTTGGGAAAAAATGAAAAATGAAAATGATGAGAACAAACAAAAAAAGAAACCTAGAATGAAAACAGAATTGCAAGGATAGAAAATGCTGGCCTATATGGAAAACTATTAAAGACAGGCCAATCTTGTAAAAGAAGAAATGTGAAAGAAGATAATATGGGAACTACTTGGGACAGAATGAAAAGAATTATGTTACAAAGTGCCACAGAAGTAAGACGAGGATTCTTAGTATGGATGAAGAAAATACATATAAGAACGCTTTAGAACGAAGTTGGAATATGTTGTACAACATAGATATAGATGAAAATATAGTTGCAAAGACATCAGGGCATTGAACAAAGAATTTTGATGCAAATAAAATGTTTTTGGAAAAAATGAAGGGGACTAAACCAAGAATCTGCAATGAAATGAAGTGAATGGAAATAAAAGTAAAACTGATGAAATGATCTAAAATGAACTTTAAGTTAGAAAATGTTGAAAAGAATATTTTAGAAATTGATATTTATTTATTTAGTTGTATATTAAAACTCCCATCTTCCTCACAGAATGATATGTTGAAAAAGTGATTGAAATTAATTCTACAAAGTGCTAGAAAAATACATAAATGAATTCATAAACACTGTGAAACAGTAAAAAATATTATGGCTGCAGATATAGACAGTATACCAAAGAAACAATAAAATACAGATGTAGTTTGTTGATGGAGTTTTGATGGTTTGTTGTTTAATAAGTGAAGATTGCATCTATTTCTGACTACTGGAGGAAAATCATTGTTGTTACTTACGAAATCAGATACTTACGTATCTGAAGAATTTTGATGCAAAGAGAAAAACAAATGACAGGGAACAAAATGTGGAAAGTGCAAAATGGCTTTATGCCAGACTAATAAGAGTGCAGATCAGCTTTTTGATCACTTGACAAATAAATGGAAAAAAAATAATTCTATATCTATTAAATAAGAGAAAATATGATGAAGATGAAAATACTATGATATATTCTGCATGAATATGAAAATAAGTTGCTGAATGTGAAAAGAGCAGGCTATGATGGTTTTAAAACATGTAAGAGAATAAATGGAATATTTCATCAAAGGTCCAACACTGAACATGGAGGTAGACAAACTATGTTATATTTTTTTACTCGTTTAGTGCATTTACAAAAAAAAGTTTTAAGAGATGCTTCCCATGATGTTAGAGGTGTATCAATTAGGGATGTGAATGTGTGTGTACTGCTATATGCCGATGAAGCTAGGTTTGGGGCTGATGAATCAAATGATTTGCGGTAAACCTTAGGATATGAATAAAATAAATAAACAAAATTATCAAAAATTAAGGGAACCGCATGACAGAGAAAACTGAGTGAAGTGACAAATTGCATAGTTCAATGTCAAAAAGGTAGAGCAAATTGGCAGAATGTTTGTTGAAGATGTGAAAGTGAATAGCAAAATTTTGATATATCCAGTGCTAGCTGAAAGGTATGGCTTATTGTGAGGAATTAATGCTCATTGAAAGAAGTGATAGTCTGTGAATAACAGCTTCTACTCACTTTGATATATGGAAATGAGAACTTGGTATGCCAAGAATTGGCAAAATCTACTGATTCAAAAAACGAATGTTTTGGAGAATACTAGGATGTGTCATTCTGGAGCATGCTGAAAATGCAACGTTTGAAGCAGTGTATGGTCATGGTGGAAGCAAGTATGGTCTGCAAGCATGTAAAGGTGCAGAGAGGTAATTTACGCAATGGTACTTTAGGCTAAACTAATTTTCATTATACTTTTCCATCATCTTATCTCTGCCCTTAATAGCTTTTTCTTGTTACATATTACTCTTGTTCTATAATATGCATGTTACCTTTCCTGAAGGGAACAACATGATGGATACACATGCTGTTACATGATTTTTATAGAATTTTATCTTTGATGGTAAACTCCAACTAATCACTGCCCAAATATTTTCTATTATTGGTTGATGTAAAGTAAAACAAATAAATAAAATACTACATGTTAAATCCAAATGATTTCAAAGTAACATTAAATTTGTTTTATATTTAATGAACAAAATCTTAATTAAACTTATTAACGTAGTTTATACTTTCCTCAGTATAATTTATTCTGATTTTTCATTAGGAACTGTTTTGGCCATTATGTACTGTACTGTAGAAAACTGTGGTGTCTTTGTGTAGTAAACATTTTAGTTTATTATAATTTGCTTACAATTTATGTCTATGACTGCCAGTTACCAATGCCTACACTTCTGTTGAAATAAGCTATGCAGGTATATATTGCAGTTAGATGGTTTGACCAAAGCTCTCTGCTGCATGTACCTATGTGCAGACTTAGTAGCATATGAATGCTTCCTCATGTGGAAGATAGGTCATGAGGGACTAAAAAAGTGTCTTTTAATGTCAAACAAGTCTAAATATCTAGCTCCAGATCTCTCTTCTTTTTTTTGTTAAACAGTCCTAAATAATTTTTTGCTTTATTGAAAAGCAAGGAACAATATATATAGATTCATTTGTACTCTACACAAGTTATCAAACAAAGAAAGTTTGGCAGCAAAAATGTAGCTGAACTATGACTTTAGATTCTCCGTTGTTAAGGGGTTGAAAGGACTACATAGTATTTTCCCTGATTTATATTTTTTTATGCAGCTCAACATCTTTCCTCATGTACTCCAGATGAATCTTCGAAAACAGATCCAGAGAGCTGAACCTGAGAATAAGTGATTACAAGGATGGAAATATATAGAAAAATTAAAGTATTATAAGACTCTCTGTACCCCTGTGCTGTCCTTTAGAGAAACTCTCATCAGTATAATTAAATTGACATTCTATACCTAATTGCTAATATGGCTTGCTTAGTATACAGTGAATTAATATTTAAAGAATTGTATTTGCATTTTTTCATTACAGAACTGTATATAAATTCAATAATATTTTCAGAACTAGAGTATTATTTCCAGTGCCAGATTTCTAGAAACATGAAAGTTTTATTGGAATTTATGGGATTAGGGTTCTGTTTATAGGTTGGGGTTGCAAAACAATGTAACATCACTGGAACTCAATTTTTTCTATACCATTTAAGAAGTGGTGTATGCTTGAAAGTAATGATCAATGTTTTGCAGTTTCTGTATATCTATCTACCTTTCATATATTATAGAAAAGACACATTGGTAAAACTTTTGATGAAACCATTAATATCTGTCTTCTCTTATTATCTGTAAAAGCATTTTACAAGCAGATTTAACATTCACTGATCTGATATAAAACTGATCTGTGTTCTAAAAATAAGTTAGATCACATTAATAATTGGGGTGATCTGTGCTTACATATACAATTCTCAACTGTACCCTTTGGAATATACTTCTGGTTCTTCTTTTTCCAAAGATCATAAAATTAATAAAACAAGATTACCTCAGCCAACTGGAAGAGTGCTGATTTTCTATAGTGCTTGATTGGCTCAGGACCCTTCAACTGGAAGTGAAGATATACATATTTTAAAATAAGCAGGAAGGAATTAAGTCCTTTAAGAGAAAACTAACACATACACGAAAACTTATTCCTTTTAGGATATTTTATTTTGGCAGTGCTAGCATAACCTGTGTTGTTCTGCAACAGTTATCCTAAAAGGCACAATTTTATTGTAGATTCCAAGATTCTACAGGTGGTGCCTTTTCACATTCATCCTTAACAATGTCTCATTTTTTCATAGTTCTTCTGAGGCCCTATTAGTAAGTTTCAGGATTTCAAAGTAATTTTGATTCTCTCTTTAAAAATGATAGGTAGATACACAAAACCATATTTATTTATTTATTTCCAAAAAATTATATGCCGCCCTTCCCCCTAAGGACTCAGGGCGGCGAACACAGGTTAAAACATTCAATAATAAAAGGTAACACAATTAAAATCCAGTCAAAACAATGACAATAAAATAATAAAACCCAAGGATCAGGGTCAACCCATTTGTTGAAACAGCCAAGTCTGCAAATCCCGACGGAAGGAACGGAGATCAGGTGCCGTCCGAAGCTCGGTGGGTAACTCATTTCAGAGGACAGGAGCGCCTACAGAGAATGCTCTACCCCTGGACGTCGCCAGCTGACATTGTCTGGCCAATGGTACCCTGAGGAGGGCAGCCCTGTGTGAGTGGACAGGACGGTGGGAGGTGGGTAGGAGATGGTCCTGCAAATACCCCGGACCTAAGCCATGTAGGGCTTTAAAGGTAAGTACCAGCACCTTGAAGCAGATCTGGAGGACCACTGGTAGCCAGTGCAGCTCGTGTAGGAGAGGTGTTACACGGGAATAACGGGGAGCTCCTGTAACCACCCGCGCGGCTGCATTCTGGATCAGCTGGAGCCTCTGGGTGCACCTCAAGGGTAGCCCCATGTAGAGGGAGTTGCAGTAATCCAAGCGAGAAGTAACCAGGGCATGAGTGACCGTGCGAAGGGCATCTTGGTCTAGGAAAGGGCACAACTGGCGCACCAGGCGAACCTGGGCGAAAGCCCCCCTGGTCACGGCCGTAAGATGATCTTCCAAAGACAGCCGGGAATCCAGGAGGACACGGGCCCTAAGTTGCGGGCCCTCTTGACGGGAGAAAGCACTTCCCTCCCTCCATCGAAAGTGATGGGACTTCTAGAACACGAGACGCCAGCATCCATAGCCACTCAGTCTTGGAGGCGTTGAATCTTAGCCTGTTCCTACCCATCCAGGCCCGTATCGCCTCCAGGCAGTGGGACATCACGGAAAGGGCATCCCCAGGGTGGCGATATGTAGCTGAGTATCATCAGCATATTGACGATACCTCACCCCGAATGATCTCACCCAGTGGCTTCATATAGATGTTAAAGAGTAGGGGGAGAGAACCGACCCCTGAAGCACCCCACAGGTTAGGGGCCTCGGGGTGGACCTCTGCCCCCCCCGCCCATACAAACTGCAAACGACCTGAGAGGTAGGAGGAGAACCACTGTAAAACAGTGCCTCCTACCCCCAACCCCCCCAAGTCGTTGCAGTAAGATACCATGGTCGATGGTATTGAAAGCCGCTGAGAGGTCAAGTAGGAACAGGATGGAGGAACAGCCTCCATCCCGGGCCCGCCAGAGATCATTCACCAGAGTGACCAATGCCGTTTCCGTGTTGTGCCCACGCCGAAACCCCGATTGGTATGGGTCTAGGAAATCCGTTTCCTCCAGGAACTGTGGGAGCTGTTGCGCCACTATGGACTCAACAACCTTCGCTATAAAGCGAAGGTTGGAGACCGGCCGATAGTTATTAAGTGAGTCTGGATCCAGGGCAGGCTTCTTGAGGAGGGGTCGAACCACCGTGACCATATTGTGGAAACTGGTTGACTACTACTTTAGCTTAATTGGAAATTTACAAATGAGCAATATATGATCTATTCTACAATCAATCCCTGGTTTCATAAATCAAACAACCAACTATGCTTTCCTTTTTTCCATCTTTGACATTTTAAAAAGAAACAGATGATTGTATTTTTCCTTATACAAAAATTGGTATCTTCACTATCTAGTGGACAGCCACATCTTTTCATTTCAAAATTGGTCCCAAGATGCTACAATAAATTTGATAAATTGTAAAAATTATTATGCATACTATTAAATGAGAAAGAATGAACTAATGCAATTATATTTTTTTCGTCTTAAAATGAGGTAAGTATGAAAATAAGAAAAATGTGCAAGAAATAGTAAAGTTGGGAAAAGACTGATATAGAAAAAGAATTAAAGCATATTTCTCACTGATATTTAGAATACTGACTACTGTTTTGGTTGTCTCTGAATTATTAAACATATACAGAATCCATAACTAATGGATCCTGTATATGTATATATTACAAGTATAATACTACAATATTTCTCAGTAACTTCAAGGAGAGGGAACTACATTTCAACATATTACTTGAATATATTACATCAGATTAGTAATTTATACAAATCAAAAGATAATACTGTAGTCCATGTTTAGTGACAGCCTTATACTGACCATTTGCAGTTACAAGGATATTGAAAAAGTAACTAATGTCTAATCCTAGCATTTACAACATTTATAGGTCTATAAAACAAAGGAAAGCTGATGTAAGATAATAATAAAAGTTGTGGTTTCACTTAATGACTGAGTTGCTGGTCTCAAATGTGGTTGCTAAATAAGGACTACTTGTATTCAAATCAGTGTTAGAATCAATATGTGAAATACTCTTACTTTGAAGATTGTTCTGCACCTTATATTGCATTTTTTTTCTTACATTGCCAATCCAACCCTCCATTTGAGCAGTAACTATCCAATATGTAATTGGGATTAAAATCATATACAACAAAATTTAAAACAACAGCTACATGCTATTTTTATAAATTTGAGAGTTATTTCATCTCTTTAAAAAAAAACAACCCAGTATTGTTGTACCTCTGAGAACTGAAGTAAAGCTGATTCATCACTTTCTTTTGGATTTTCAGGAACAGTTCCCTTTGACAGATTTGAAGAAATCTGATGGAAAGATATTTGTTTCAAAATTACCTTTAGGTTATCCTTTATCAATTGTCTATTTTTCAAATGACACATAGCACAAATGACATTTGTGGCCACAATATAATTGAGCATTATTTATTTATTAATCAAGTATATAAAGCTGCCCATCTCACCGAAAGTGACTGTGTGTCATGTTTAATTGAGCATATAAGGAATATAAATAAACCATATTCCAAAGCAACTAGCATTTTTTAAAAAAGAAACTGACATAATTTCACAGTGAAAATCTTTCCAAAAAACCAATATCATAAATAGGCAACTAGGGAATAGTAAAAATAGTCTTAAACAGTTGAATGAAATTATGCATCTCATCTTGCATGTTAAATGTTTAAAAGCATTAGAGGCATTTCAAGGTACTAGACTAAAAATCAGTTGAGTTCTAATTTCAGTTTAGGCATGGAAAACTGGCTGGGTGACTTAAGGCCACTCATTCTTCCTCATCCCTACTCACTTCACAGGAGTATTTTTGTAGAGAAAACAGGAGGAGAAAAGAGTATTGGATATGATTGCTATCTTGGGTTATTATTAATAACAAGTAATATAAAGGTGGGGTTAAAAAAACTTTTGAAAAAAGTAGTTTTTTCAGTCTGAATCCAATACTAGTTTATTTACAAGAAGTAATAACTGCATGATAACCAAGGCTCTCATGGAATTAAATTGTATTACATTAAGGAAATATTTTTCAATAATTATAAACTGTTGCTGTACCACCTAACAAAAAAGGGTCATTATAAGGAGTTTACCTCAGCAAATTGTAACATTGTTGAGTTTAGACATCCTTCAGTAGAATTAGGGGAATCAGAATGACATGTATTTGAAGAGACCTATAGTAAACAATGTAAGAAGGAAAATTTAAGGACTGAACAAATAATCAAAATTGTTTTCAACAATATATAAGAGCAATAAGTTTTTTCTTGGAGATTTACAATATATAGGAAAAAATAAAAAATAAACGTGTGTGTGTGTGTGAGAGAGAGAGAGAGAATGAGAATATCTGAATACCTATCTGAAGAGAAACAATAAAAGACAACAGTCATAAAAATTATAAGTAAAAAGACTTCCAGTTGAAATGTTGATTTGACCATAATTAACAAAGACATTTCAGTAATCATGGTAGTATATTCCAAACACATAGGATAGCAGAGAAAATGAGAATGTTCTTGGCTTTTAAGAAATATATAAAGAAGAATGGAAACTTCTTAAAATAAAAGGAAGAGATGAATAAAAAGCAAATGATGAATAAACCAAAAGTATTTTAAATTAGGATAGGAACAGATATGAGACTACGGTAATTTGAAGAAGAAAAAGGAACTGACAAAAGGCAAGGTTCCTGATATATTAAAAGAGTTTTATAAACAAACAAACAAACAAACATGAGATCAGAAATAAGAATTCCCAACAAAACTGAGTAGAGGTAATATTAGGGTTGCAATCACATTCAGGAAGGACTACATGCAAAGTTCTTTCTGATTTTCATATATCAATGTTCCATCCTACTATAGAACTGAAAAGTAGTTTAGGAATTAAAGTAAATGAACAACAACAACAACAATCAGGCCTTTCATTTTCAATTCATTTATTTATTTCACTTATATTTCATTTTATAATCTAAAGGGTGCAATTTGCACTTAATTTTTTTTGTCACATAACTGCACTGATTATTCATTTTCATTATCAGGTACAAACATTAAAAAAGCATTCTAAATCATTCACAGCTTTTTGCTACAAGAGACAGCTTCCCTATAATTAAGTTTTTTATAAGAAGCTAAGCAAAGTTAGTAATTGTCAATATCCATTTTTATGTTAAATTGTTTAGCAGATAATCATTACTACAATTAGCTTAATTGTCATAAACTATATTCTTAATGGAACACAATACTATTTAATTTCTACCAATGAAATACACATGAAAATTAAGAATGGAAGAGTGTTTTTTTTTCTGCTTTAACACTATTAATATTTTCTTCTAATTTCTTGCAATTAAAAAGATTAAAGTTTAGGGAAGATTAGAAAAGATGCTAATCATAGGCATTGTTCTGCAATATATTTATGAGGTTTTTAGGAAGTCCCTTCAATCTACAATTAAATTCTTAGAACTTTGTAGAAATATGATTTTCTAAATGGAACGGTGTTAGCATTACAGTACCGCTAGTCCTCAGACAATTGAGATTGGAATTTCTGTCATTCAGTGATGTAACCATAAAGCATGACGTTGCATGACTGCATTGCTTAGCAACAGCAATACCAATTGCCATCGTCACCACAGGACCATATGGGTCATTAAGCAGAAGGAGGTAAGAATTTCAAGCAATGAGTGCAGGGGTGTATAGATGCTGTGGATGGGACAGCCAACGTGGTTGCTACAGAGCATGGGTGGGTTGACGGGACTGTGGACAGGTGTAACAGAGCATGGGTGGGTCAGCAGGGGCATAGGTAGCTCGATTGACGTGGGTGAGCCAGGGCCAGAAGCTGGCAGGGCACTGTTATAGCTTATGAGATCCCTGGGATCTTGTTCTTATTTCAGTGAGGCTCCTATAGAAAAAGCAGCAGGATCAACTTCCAGAAACAACTTGTGATCTTCCCTGCTGTCTTTTCTGCCAATTTTGCTAGTGGGAACCTGGTAGCAAAGGTTGCAAATGGGGATCACATTGCTGCAGTACATTACAAATACTGTGTGTACTGATTGCTAAGTGCCCTAAGAGCAATCATATGTTGGGGTTTTGTGATGGCTGGAACTTTGACTATTGGTCATTAAGTATCATTCATTCAGCACTGTTATAACTCTGAATAGTTGCTGGTCATAATGGTCATAATCCTAGGACTGCCTGTACTTAAACTGGCATAAATGCTTAGAGAAAATAATTATGCTGACAAATTCTCTTAATATTCTATAAATTCGTGAATGAAGACCTCTGTTTCATGGAAAGACTGCCTAACAATACATTTACAGGTTGTCCTTGTTTAATGACCAGCCATACAGACACTGAAGTTATGTCGGTGCTAAAGAACACTTGTAACTGGTCCTTGCAGTGGTAGCCATTGCAGCATCCTTGCATCACGTGATCAGAATTTGGGTGCTTAGCAGTTGGCTTGCAGTTCCAATAGTCACAGCATCCTGTGATTGCCATTTATAACCTTCACTTCTAAAAAGCAGTCAATAGGGAAGCTGGGAAGAGGTTGCAAATTGTGATCATGTGACATTGCAGTTAATGACTGCACAGGATTTGCTAAATAATGGCAATCAGAACAACTACAATTGCCGGCATAAGTTGGCACAAGCATGTGATGTCACACTTTACTATCAAAGCACTTAGCAACAGAGTTACCAATCTAGATTATTGTTGTTAAACAAGGACTCCCTATATTTATTGCTTTGGTTGGAAAAATATTTAATTTTTGCTTTATATTGAGCAGTGTTCTAAGTGTTCCCAAGATCAGTGTAAATGGCAATTTGCAGATGTCAATGCAGAATTCAGATAGCTAACCGAAGCTCTCTTAAATAATAAACTCTTTAGAAACAAAAGGAGAAAAACTGTCTAGTAAAGAAAACGCTACAATACTTGCTCATATAATGGCCACCCGCAAAGACTCAAAATAGACTAAAATACACAGCAGTCATTCAAAATGCTCAATTTCTCCATCTTCTATAAACCATAAACATCTAAAATAAAAATTATTACTAGAATATAATCAATCAAAATTCAAAGGAAAAAAAGGGCCAGATATCTTCTAAATGAATCTTAAAACACAAATGATTTAAGGCTTTACAATAAGCCAGCAAACCAGGTTTAATTAGTTTCAAGCCATGTAGGACTTACTTGTAAGTTAATACCAGCACTTTGAACTTGATCTGGAAAACTATTTCAAACAAGTGCAGGAACTTTAGTACATTGTATTATTCAATGGAATATTGCCACCAGACATCAAGTCACCATACACTGAACAACAGCAGTTTCCAAATTATCTTTAAAGGCAATTCCAGGTAGGAAGTATGGAATATTTTATTGTATGGTGATAAGTGCCTGATTTGTAAGGGCTTGCTAGTTTCCTTCTCCAGCAGCTGAAGGTGTGCAAAGGCTCCTCTGGCCATGGCCTCCATCTGCTGCTTGAGTTTAGGGGAATCTTCACATTGCTGATCTGCTCCTTCAGTGTAAGTCCATCCCAAAACAGAGCTAACCTATCAAGTGAATATGGCAGTTTGCCTATGAACTATCGACTGGGGAAGACAATACCTCAAAGCAAGTGAGGCAATTGTATGGAACAGATAAAAAGAAAAAAATAGCTGGTTTCCTCAATGGTTTGAGGAATAGAAATGGAATGTAGCTAGCAGTGCTTCAAACAAAAACTCTTCACATTCATATTTTGTTTCAAAACCTCCCTTGTTATTAAATGTAATGAATCTGAAAATGGTTCTTAATTAAACCCTTTGAAATCTGAAACGCCCCATTTTGAGTCCTAAACAATCACTCTGGATTGAAATATACTTTTTGACCACTATTCAACTCTTGTTTACTGCAAACGATGCAGACATTTTGAATGTGAAATATTCTGAAACTTTTGCACATCAAAGAAGGAGGATTTTTCTTTGAAGCTATTTTTTCCTTGTTGTTCACATACTCTTTTTAAACAACTAAAGTGGATAATTTTCTCTTGATTTCAGTTCTCTTGTAAGTAGCTATTCCTTGGTTCTATTTCCTTAATCATTTAACTCTCATGCTGTACAATATAAAGAACTGTATCAATCTTTGAGGAAAATAATCAAAGTTATGCAACAGGTTGTCCTCTGCCTTCCCTTCCCTCACACTCTCTTGGTGCATACACCTAATCCTCTAAATATAGGGGTAGAAGTCAGTGTCAAAGTAGTAGATATTTTATAATGAGCTCTTTCAGTAAAAAAAATCTCTCTTAAATGTTAAAATGATGTCACTAATCCAAGACAAAAGATGTACCAAATAGCTGTGAAAATATATTATGTAGTAATGTAACCTATTAAACATTTTCTTTTTTTAAAGAAATAATTAAGCAGTAAAGATAATAACTTACTTCTTGTGCAGTCAAGGCATGTTCTCCTGCTAACAGTAGCATGCTGAGGCCTCCCATTTGCGTAGGATCTGACAGAAAAGAAATTATATATGGAAACATTTTAGTCAAAATATTTATTTAGAAGTAGTTTAGGCAAACCTATTGCCTTAAACATCTGGAGCTTTAATAGTGAAGGAATCTGTAATAACTGCATACCTTAACCTAGATATATGTTGGAAAAATAGATTTTGTCTTTTCTTTAACAAAACTGTTAGGTTTTGTATGTGTTTGTGTGTTTATATGCCTACATAAACCATAGAACTATTTTGACTCCTTTAACTGAAAAAAAAAAAAGTAAGGGTAATACGATTCATAAAATTCTTATGTTAAGAAAAATGAATCACAACAAGTTAAAAAAAAATAACTCTACATACAATAATGCATTTGACAAATAAGTATCACAAAAGATACCTATATGACCTGCAAATTGTTTACATATTTATTTATATTTTATTGCTGAAATTTATATGAAGTTTAATTCCAGAATAGTTCTGAGTGGCTTACAAATTATGCAAATATACGAAGTAAAATATACAGTGTTTTTTTTTTAAATCTAAGCCTAACAACAATGAACTTCTAAGCCAGTGATGGCTAACCTTTTCTGGACCGAGTGCCCAAAGCTGTGTGCACTAATGTGTGCGTGCCCGAACTCCCCAAATGCAATGTGTGCACAGCCCCCGTGCATGCGCCCTGCCCCTGCGTGTGTAGTCACCCTGCATGCGCCCCACCCCACGTGCACACGCCCTGTACATGCCCTGCACATGCAGGCCCCCCCATACCCTGCCTCCCTATGCATGCAAGCTTAGTCCCTGCATGCACCTCCCATGCATGCACACATGGCCCCCCTCATGTGCCCCCTGCACATGCAGCTTCCATGCATGCGTGCCCCCCGCATGTGCCCCACCCCCACGCATGTGCGGCAGACACTCGAAGACCAGCTGGCTGGTGGGAGGCGCGCGCACATGCGTGACAGAGCTGAACTGGAACAGCGGCTCACGTGCCCACAGAGAGGGCACACGTGCCATAGGTTCGTCATCATAGTTCTAAGCCATTGACACACCACAGGAAACAATCCTAGCACTAACAATTGCCTATACAGTGAGGGGACCCATTATACAACCAATCTCTAAATGCTTTTGAAACAGCCAGATCTTGAAAGCCAACAAGTTGGTACTGTCTAGACTTCATATGGAACACCATTCCAAGTAATTTACTGTTTAGAAGTTGGTATAATTTGGCATTCTAAATCTTCTCCAATGGGAATAGGGCAGAAGAACAGAATTAAATCCCCCCATCCCCCAGGAACAAGAATGATGGAATTCAGTAATAAGTGATTAGGCAAATTCACTAAGCAAATGGCTACTACTTGCAATCAGCATAATATCTGAGGACAACTTCTGAGTAACAGTGGAAATAAAAAGCTACTATTATACTGATGGCTCGGGAAGCTACCACAGTTAGAGATTGTGTGAATGGAATGCAGAACTAGATAGGCCTTTATTCTAATGTAGGAAGATTTTAATGATGGGATAATATATGAAGGGGATTTAGTCATTTTTTTGTTTTTTTTTCCCACAAGAAAAAGCCACAATGCAAAGCATCCTTTTGGTAAGCTTCTAAGACTGGGATTGAAAAACTTACCTGCCATTGCAAAATTCAGCTGAGGGGTTTCTTCTGTCTTCATCAACTTTTTTGGACTAGGCAAATCTTTTGTAACTTCTGATGGGAAAGCCCAAAGCTTTTTTCGATTTGTTAGTGTGGGTGACTGAGTTTTCACAGGTTTGCTTGTAGGTGGACACCATTTGTAGCCAGGATTTGCTTTCATAAATGCATCTTTATACTATAAGAAGAACAAATAATTTCCTTTAAGGCACAGCACATTTATTTGAGAAAAATGAATTAGTTTTAGGTTAACAGATCATTTATTCCATCAAACAAGCAGTCCACCCATGGCCATTTGAAAATTGCCATAATGAAATGAGAGCTGCTCATTGAAATAAATGTGTCATGCCTGCCTATACACATCATAACAAACACAAAATTTCCTTAAAATAAAGAATGCCACTGAAAATACAAACCTTTATTTTCTATGTATATTTCTTCTTGTACAACAAAGAAAGGTTAAGGAGGCTCAATGACAAGTTTTTGTTGCTAATTACTGCTGTTATATTCTTACACTGCATAAAGAATAAAAATTATATGTTTAATTGAATATTTCTTACACATTCTTGGAATGAACATTACTGGGCTGAACACTTAGTCATATTGTTTCTTTTCAATAGAAAATGTGGATCTTACTTTTAAACTCATATCACTAGGGGCATAGTACTGTATTCATTTTTTAAGAAAAAATATTCTTAACAGCTTTTGAGCTGTAAGTTTTTATAGGAATATTATACAATAATTTCCAGGCTTTGTTCATCAAAGATAAATTTCCTACTACATTACGCTATCCCTAATATGTAATTTACTGCTCAATTTGTCATGTATCTACTTAATTTCTTTAATTCATTAATTTATTGTCAACATTTTAATCAACAGTCTTTTAATTTCATTAGATAGTCCTTGAGATATGACCAGTCACTTAACTGTCATTCAAAGTTACGACAGACTTCCTAAAAGCCATATACAATCCTGTTTTGAAGTTATGGCAATGCCGCCGGGAACATTCGCCCTTACGACTGACCGCAGGGACACTGCCGCATCTCCCCACCTCTTTTCCTCCCATCCTTCCCATTGGGACCCAGGCTTTGGCCTTACTTTGCACATGCCCATCAACCACTGCACAACCTTTTGAAGATCTCTGGACCTCATGCTGGAGAAGAAGGGAAGGCTACGCATCCTGATGGCATAAGGCTGCCTCCCTGAAGCAGCAGCCATTTTCAGTGTACCTGCAAGTCCTTAAGATGGTTTGCAGAAGCTTTTTGCAGTGCTAGGTAGACTGTGTTAAGCAATTGCAGGTGCAATGAAAATGACAGCCTCTTCTGGAAAAAATGGGCAGAGACATGTGGTCTTTCCTCTTTCCCCAACATGAGGCTCAGAAATCTTCAAAATAGAAGTGAGGAAGAGAGTGTGGGGCCTGATACAGTGGGGTGGGGATCGGGGTGGGTGGGTGGGGAGATAGGAAATACCCACAGGGTCCCAAGGAATGGTAAGCAGAGTGTGTCGGGGTGGTGATGGAGACCTTGGAAGGTCCAGAGAAGGCAAGCTTGGGACTGCACTAGACCCCCAAGGGCCTAATCTGACAGAACCTGTGCTCTGCTTAATGACCTACAAGTTTATTGAACAGTTGCATCCGGTGGGGATCCATAAGCGAGACCACCTCACTTAATGGCCATCACCACTTGCAACTGCAATAGGAAGGATCTATTAGAAGTTGTAACTCAAGGACTACCTATATAAGAAAATCACAGCAAAATTATACTAAGCAAAATTATACTTACACAGCAAAATTATACTAAGGTAGAGTTAAAATGTATTAATGTTACCTATTATTTATTTATTTATTATGTTCAGGCAAACACAACAATGTTATTTTCATTGTAGAACTTCATTTACAGAATATTCTCACCAATACCATTAGCTTCCATAAACTTTTCAAATTGTAAAGTAATTTATATATTTTATTACTTCTCAATTTTACTTGAACTTGTTTGGATAAAGGACAGGATATCAATTAATTTGGATAAATATAATAATTCCTTATGTCAAAGGGTCTTCCCAATTAAATGTTATTAACTTCTTCTGTCTTCAAATGGGATAATAATGTCAGATAGCTGAGTTGTGGGAATTAAGAGAAAGATAACTAACCAGCTCCAAAGCCCTGCTGCTTCATTGCAGACTACCAAGGTAATGGGGATTTTTCTTACATTTTAATTTCATGATGAACTTTATTTTTTATAACTGTCTTATTACTGAATCTGACACAAGTAAATTTATCTTTGCCAGCTCAGGACTGGTGTTGGTAAGGAGCAAAGAAAAGTATTACTTGACATAAATTAGTAAAATGGCTCAAAAATAAATAGGCATTTATCATTTTTTATTATAGCTCTATATTCAAAATATCTTTAAGATGCAATTCTAAATAGGGAAATATAGGACTGCATAGTAAAATATTTTAAAATAATGCTAAATTCTCCTGTAAATGCATTGCTAAGAAAGAGAACAGTGATATTAACTATTTAATTCCTGAATAACTAGAGAATCGCCTTACCTAAGCATAATCTTAAATTTCATACTTAACTCAGAAACATCTTTGTTTGAAATTTGTCTCTGAAAATTAATTCTATGCAAAGGTAAGAGAATTAAATTAAATTAATGTGAGGAATTAAATAGCTTATAAAATATAGTTACATTTTCAAGCATACCATATTCTTACAAATTTAAAAAACAAATAATAAACATAGCTTATTAACATACTTATCTTGTTTGGTTGCACTGTACTTGGGTGCTTCCCAAATGTTCTGGATCATTACTCACACAATTCTTGCTATTGCCGATTCCTTCTTTTGATATTTATTAAAATATTTCACTGAAAGATCTCCTCTACATAAGAGTGGAGAGAGCCTTTGGTAGTCTGGGGCCTAGCTATACAGATCAAGCAAGGGCCAAAGGGGGGAAGAGCAATAAACCAAAGAGGGAGGAATGGAAGCTCTGAAAATTTTTTGTTTGTCTTTACTCTGCTTGCCACTTTTAACTTTTATTTATTACATAAATTTATCATTTATTTTACTGTTAATTTTAAGTTCTAGTTTTTAATTTTATATACTATTCTTTGATTGTTAATTGTTAGCTGTCTTAGGGATTTGCCTGAGTAGAAAAGTGAAGCATAAATCAAACAAATATATTATCATATCAAGAAAATGAACAATATATAATTGAAAGACCCATTGATCATGTTATTGTATACCTCCTTGGCCATGTCCGTGTATTTTTGTTTTTCTTTAGGCTCAAGAAGAGACCACCAATCTGCCAATATTTTGGTAGCACCACGATTGTCCAGACGAGGATGTTCTTGCCGGACAAGGGAACGATGACGTTTGCAGAACAAAAGGAATGCATTCATTGGTCTGCGAGCTCGCTGTTCTGAAGATTCCTCATCTTCTGTTTCATCAGCATCATGATCAAGACTATCAGCACTCAGAATCTGGACCTATTTTACAATGAAGAAAATATAACATATACAAAGAATGTTACTGATAAGGATTTCTTATTACATCCACAAGTTATTTTCTCTGATACTTAGTTTCAAGTATAGAAATATGTCTATATCCAAGAACGAAAAAAAATCCTTATTCTCCTTAAAACAGACTTTTCACTAAAATGTTTAAATTTTCCAGTTTAAACAGTTTAAGAGTATGAAGTCTTTGATACTAGAAGCAATATATAAAGTAAGTATATCATATAAAATATGTTGTTTGCAATAATTTCGTCTTATTCTTCTTCCTTCTCCTCCCTTTCTCGTTCCCCTCCTCCCCCTTCCAATAAGGGTTATTATCCAATAAAATTGCATTTATTTAATATTTCCTCCTTCTCTCTCCTTCCTTTTCTTCCTCTGATGTCTCCTGTGGATGATGGCTCATCCACATCTTCCTCAGAGGCCTCGGGGGAGAATGAGAGCATTCCTGGCACGTCCGATATTGCTGACCCTGAACTGTCTGCTGAACATGCCTCGGCTGGGGAGAGCTTGCAGGCCAATGAGAAAGAGGGGGAGGAGCTACTGGCCTTGGTAGATGCTAGAGCACACAGGGCAGAGAGGCGGAGATCTGCTAGATTGATGGGGAAAAGGCCCGTCCCTCTTAATGGGCTGCACCGGAAGGGACTATTTAGCATGGCAGGCAGAGGGAGGCATTGCTGGAAGCAACGTGTGTGGGTTGTGGCCAGATGGTTGTTTATGTTTCTGGAACTCTGCAGCTTGTGGATTTAATTCAGTTGTGGAGAGCGTTTATGTTCGTGTTTGGAGCAGCCGGTTATCTATCCGGTAGTCTAATTGGCCATTGCCTGGAAAGTTAGCCTGGAGCTTGTTCATGGCTGGCTTCAATGAAAATTACCTCCCAAAGTCCTGGCTTGGACTACTCCTATGACTTCTCCTTGCAAGCCCTAAAACTCGGACCACCGGACTTGTTGACAAGGCTTAGAGGAGGCCCCAAATCTCGGAGGGGATTTTGAGCTGTTTGTTTTTGGAACCTATCCAGGCAAAACCTTTATTTTCAAGGCTGTTTTGGTTTGGCTATAAGTTTGTTTTGCTTTTGGTTATCTATTTGGTCGTGAGCCAATTATTGTGCTAAGTTTGCAGCTGGGGGTTAGCTGAAAACCTGAAATGGAACTGTTGAGGGAACAGACTGAATAAAGCTCTCTACACCAACCCTGACATGTGGGTGAATGGGGGAAGCACACTTCCCTTTTAACTCATTTAACTTTTTAAATTACCATTTGTCAATATATATTTTATGTTTTTCACATTACGCAGGTGTGTATGTACACAGGTAGGTCAAAGGCAATCCATTACTAACCTGGTTTGAGTGAATGTGTTTAAATAATGAAATGTAGGAATTAAAAAGTAAGATAACTTATTCTAATTTCATTAACAAATAATTGTTAAAATTAGCTTTCTCAATATTTTATGAGGAATTGAAAAAAATTATAAAGAACAATATATTAACAAGAAGAATAGGATTTGGCCAGGATGAATTAGCATCAATTTACATAGTTAAGAGGAACATAGAACAATGTTGGAAGGAACTACCACTAAGTGTTGTGGTTATAAAGCACGAAGCTATCCTGGCAATTAAGTTCACAACTTCCTGATGGCTTCCAACAAGCAAAGCAGGCAGGAAGTTGCAAGCCCCAGGTGGATTGCAATCAATCTGGAGGGCAGGAAGTGACTGCCATCAGGTGGGGGAGGCTTGGCAGTATGGCATAAGTGCAGCAGGGCTAGGGAAGGCTACTGCCAGATGTGAAATGGTAGGCAGATGGCTGGTGAAAAATGAGAGAGGTCATGCCAGGGATTGCTGTTCTTGATAAAGTAAGATGTGCAGGTGCCCAGTGAGACATGGCATGAACAGATGGCCAGTGAGATATGGCAGAGGTGGCTGCTGCTGGGTGGAAGAGACTTATCAGAGCAACCTTAACGGTAGGCTTTCCCCATTGATTTTGCTTGTGGGAAGCCAGCAGGGAAGGTCACAAATGGCAATCATATGACCATGGGATACTGCAACCCAGGGATGTCAAACTCTATTTCATTGAGGCTGCATCAGGGTTGTGTTTGACCTCTGGGGCTGGGGTGGGCGTGGCCAGCTTGACAACACTCATGTCGGGAACGCCTGTGGCCCAAGTGTTTTGCCAGAGAAAATGGGTTTCCGACCTCCATTTTCGGCTGAGACCTCCTGTAACCCTCTGCCAGCAAAAATGGAGCTCGGAAGGGTTGCGTCTTCACTGGCATGGCACCATGTGCCAGTCCTTCACTATTTCCAGAACTCCCCTGGAGGCCGGATGTAAGTATCCCGCGGGCCAGATCCAGCCCCCAGGCCTTGAGTTTGACACCCCTGCTGTAACCATTCTCTGTGGGAGCTGATTGTAAAGTGATCACATGCTCATGGAGTTAATGGGACAGATAGAACTTGTGAGGACCACTCAGAAATACAATTCATTCAATGCTGTTGTAACTTTGTATGGGTGGTCATTAATTACCATATTTTTCGGAGTATAAGACTCACTGGCGTATAAAACGCACCTTAGTTTTTGGGGAGGAAAATAAGAAAAAAGCTGATTGGCAAGTGGATCGGCCTCCCGGAATACCCCCAATCAGCTGTTCCCAGAGGTGAATTTTAGCAACAGGTTAGTTGGTTGTGAGCTCTGTACCTTGATTTTTTTTTTCTGCCTCTGAAACTTTTGAAACTGTTTCAGAAAAAAACTTTTTTTCTGCCACTGAAAGTCTCCGAAACAGAGCTTCATAAAAAAAGCCTTTGAAACTTTGTTACAGAGGCTTTTTTTCTGACGCTCTGATTCGGAGGGTTTTTTTCTGAAATTCTGTTTGGACGCTTTTTTTCTGAAGCTTCGTTTCTGATGCTTTTTTCAACCTCTGAAACCTCTGTTTGACAGGGTGGGCGAGGCTACATTCGGAGTATAAGATGCACCCAGATTTTCACCCTCTTTTTTGGGGGAAAAAGGTACGTCTTATACTCTGAAAAATACGGTACATGTAACCAATGAAATTCATTTCCTGCTCAGTGCAGCAATTCAAGTTAAAGCATATCTAATTGAGGGTTCAGTGAAACACTTGTCGGTGTTGTAGGACCATGACCGACAAGAGTTTGTCTCCCAATCGATTGTAAGAGTTAAGTTTCCTATCTCTATTATTTCATGCTTCCTTGAAAGTTCTTCAGTTTTAGTTTTGGACAAATCATCCATATTTGCTTAGTAATAAAAATAGTAAAAAAAAATTAAAAATGCAAAAACCAACAGAAAAAATGTACATACATACATTTCAGATACCATCTTTCATCAGCTCTCCAATTCCCTTTAGAAAAGGTCTATTTTTAAATGTAACTGGAAGGGAAGTAGAATTTGTGTCAAATACACAATGACAGGCGACCATTGCAGAAAATCAGCCCAATGCCAGAAAAACAAGGCCTCTAAGTCTCAGTCCACCAATCTCCCCAAAATGGGGGACAATCAGATGCCTTCCCAACATGATTGAAGTGGTTTGACTTATGCCAATTAAGAGATATTCTGAAGCTATAAGGCGCTTTCTAGGATACAACCAACACTTTAAAGTGCTGTATGTACCCATTGGTACCCATGCAACTCTGGGTCATTGTTTTTTGTATCATATGAAGCTTGTAGATGGTCTCTAGAAACAGCCCATGTACAGTACTTGCAGTATTTGATTTGCCCAGCCAGTAAGATAGGTGGGTGGGTTTACTCCAGGTTTCATGTCTTAAGCAAAGTTTATCTGACAGAAGACATAACTTGCCTGCTGCTGTTTCTGTTTGAACATTATTCCCCTGAGGTTCAGATGACCCCTGCCTGCCTTTCTGAAGACTATGTTTTATCCCTAAGCAGTGAATCAGAAAATTTTGTGCCTGTTTCTGGTTTTGACTGTTTGAAGTTGTAGGTGGCAAATATATTTTACTATATTTTAATGTGTTTTTCTTTGAATTTATAATTTATTTATTGAATTTATATTGCCTATTCGCCCATAGCGACTCAAGGCAACTTACAGAATTGAATACACAACACATGTCCAATGTGTTGGATTGACCTGAGTTGATTGACTAAATGAATAAAAATAAAATCTATATCATTCTAAATTTGGAAATGTATGGGTGGCTCCCAGTTTCATATAGTGAGGGTGTGATTAGCTAGATCCATCATTGGTTGTTGTTTTTTTCTTTCATAATTATATTGTAGTTTTTTTCTCTCTTTGGATTTATTGTACATGGCTATACTCCAAGAGCTGTGGTGGCACAGTGGTTAGAAAGGGCGTTGGACTTACCGTGAACGCCGTTTCTCCGGAGGATGCGGAGTGGGTCAGGAGTGGGATGATTCAGTTGGTCTGTCCAGTCACTGAGTCGAATTGTTTTGGCCATGCCTACTCTGGCCTCCATCGCCTCCAGTTTTGTTCGACGAATGTAGATCTACAAGACAGGCTCCGCCAAACAGTTAACAAGGAACAATGGAAGAGTCGCAGGTGGGAGGGGCTGACCCACTCCGCATCCTCCGGAGAAACGGAGTTCACGGTAAGTCCAACGCCCTTTCTCCCAGAAGGCTGCAGAGTGGGTCAGGAGTGGGACATACCCAAGCTCGTCAGCCCTACGGGAGAGAATCCTGCGACCTAGGAGGCCTCGGGGCCAGGTGTACCTGTTGGAGGACTCTCCTGCCGAAGGAAGCCTCCGCAGACGCGAAGACGTCCAAATGATAGTGTTTAATAAAGGGTACAGGAGTAGTCCAGGTAGCTGCCTGGCAAATTTCCTCGAGAGAGGCCTGTGTGGCCCAAGCAGCGGTGGAAGCTGCACTGCGAGTTGAGTGAGCAGTGACTGCTCACTCGGTGAGGGAGAGACTGTGCTTCATATGCCTGGGCAATACAAGCCCGGATTCAGCGACCAATAGTGGCCGAGGATACCTTAGATCCCAACGAGGCGGGTTGAAATG